CATATTGCTATGAAATGTGTATTGTACCAATGCCCAAAAAAGCTTTCCACAATTGCATGGATGTTGATACGTCTGCAATACCTTACGAACCTTTAGCATAATAGAGCTAAAAATGTAAAAATAGCTGTGAAACGGGTTGAGAATATTAAAGAAATAAGAACTCATATAAAAGTTCGCACAAAATACGGCGAAGCATATTTTTAAAGGTCGGATAAGGTATCTTATATTGAGTTGCCACAGAGTCAGTCAATAATGCAGCAAAATCTGGCCGACCTGTGACAGTAACCGGCATGACAATTGTCTCATAAGTCGGTAATGATGACAGGTACTCGATTCATGACATTGACAAAACTGTTGGCATATCGCTATCGCAGGTGCATTTTATGTAGAAAGTACGAATGATTTCTGCCAGATGGACACCCCATATATTGACAAATGACCAAATAAGGGTACGAGTACAAACCGCTAAGCAGTTCTTCAAAATGTTTCCTAACTTCAGTCAAAGACAATTTGCAAACATCGCTATTGGTTTCACTATTTCGACCAGTCAGAAAAAAAAATGAAACAAATAGGGCTAACCAAACATGGTATCTATCTGCAGTAGGTCTTTTATTGTATATTCTTCACCTCTGATCGTATATAGCCGTGCAAATTCTAGTGTCGAAGGACAAAGTGTTGCAATTCCGTATTACCAAGATGTAATATTAAAAAGCTCAAGAAATACAAAAAACTACGACCTGTGTTAAGATTAAGGCATTGTAACACCGCACTTTGGGATCAAACGCACTTTGGGGTCCAACCCCAAAGTGCGTTACACTTCGCACCGCACTTAGGGGTCCAACGCACTTTGGGGTCAAAATCGAGAAATTGACCCCAAAGTGCGTAATTATGCTACTTATCAACACACTTTGGGTTCAAAAGTTCTGAAGGTGTCAACTGAGTTCTGCTTAAATACTGAGTTCTGACTTATTTTTGATCTGCGACATTGAAATATTTGAGGTGGAGTTCAAAATGGCGGTTTGATACTTAAGTGATAAAAGTTTCATTAATGTTACCACTTGAAATATCTAAAATTGTGTCCATATAACAAAGTACTCTAGTACATAAATTATTTATGTATCCTAACATTAAAAGATGCTGCGAAAAAATAGCATGTTTTGTCAGTCATTTACTTGATAACTTTTTGTGCCATATTAAGCCCCATTTAAAATATAATGGGGATGAAATAAAATGCAGTTAATATTGTTTCCTAAAAAACTATAAACTACTCTATTGCACTATTCTGGTAAAATATCCAGTTTCTAGATCAGACTATAAATAGTGATTTTTACAAATACGTTATTAAGTTTATCAACAAACTTAAGTTTTTTGTAAGCTTCGTAACAACCGTTCGCCAGAGGTTTTTTAATGGGAAATCTTACATACTTCTTTAGAAATGGCAAACATGAATTTTTAATGTTTAAATAATAGTATCAGAGAAATTAAAGATACTTGTTACCTGAATAAAGTAGCGATAAATGTGAAAAAAATTGTCATAAAAGTAGCAAAATGTAAACAATGTAGTATTTGACTTACATATAAAATACTAATTCACTATAACTGTACTCATTGCCAAAAAGCAATAGATGAAAAAGATGGTTCAGATAATTGGCCAATGAGTAACTTTTTGGATACTATTGAAGTACATGTACACTAAAATTTTTAAAAAGCTTAAGAAAAACAAATAAAGTGTACATTCTTTTGAAATAAATGGAAAATGTGAGAAAAATATACTTTGAGCTTATAAATTGATACAAATTCTTTATTTGATGAAAGTTCTTCACACTTTTAAAATCCCTATTGATTTTACTATAATTCAGGGCACATGTTTTGCCTCTATTCAATACCTTGATTTGTTTACCATTGGCTTTGACTGCAATATATTATTCGAAACATCATGAGAATTCATTTTATTGATTGAATTTTTATGACCCCAAAGTGCGGTCGCTTGTCTGATGTTAAAAATGCATATGTACCTGTTTAACGCACTTTGGGGTCAAAATTAGACCCCAAAGTGCGTAACGCACTCTGGGGTCGGACCCCAAAGTACGTAACGCACTTTGGGGTCGGACCTCAAAGTGCGTTTGACCCCAAAGTGCGGTGTTACAAGGCATGTTCGTCTACTTCATGATAACGCTTTTGAGATATCGTACAATACATATCGAACAACACTCGTATCGATAATATAGTTTCAAGTAAGAGTCAAAGCATATTTCACTAGGGTACAATAACATTAAATTTTATTGTTTTGATTTTTACATTTTCTGTTCTTAAAAACTTTGGATTGGAAACTTTATTAGTTGCCTGTGTAAAATTTCCAGCTAAATCAATTCATAAAATATAAAATACAAATATTATATCTATGTTATAAATGTAAGAATAAAATAGGTTATAATTATGACCCAGCAAACACATGACGTTAAAATAACGTCGGATTAATGTTAGATTTTGGTCACGACGTCGGCGACCAAAATACGACGTAAATCTGACGTTAAAATACCGATGTCTAATAGACGTTTCTTTTTGACGTCGTACTAACGTCAGGTTATGGTCGGTGTCCTGACGGTAGGTAAAAAAAATAACAAAAAATAATCCTTATTCTTGTTGTAATCATTTAAACTTTTTTTCAAATGTTATTTGGATTACAAATGAAGTGTTCTTATATGAATACAGACCAAGATCGCGGCACTGCAACCTAATAAAACATAAAGGTGGCGCTGTATATACGCAAGTTACATGTGTTATTGTTATAAAATCTATTTATAGCTACAGATCTGTTTACAAGTTCCAATCATTTAACGTTGTAATATTATCATTTGTGGTATATTATATGTATCAAAATGACGAGTTTTTAATAGTGCTTTAACATTTAATCATAGTGACAGAAAAGGAAAGAAAACATAATTAACCTTTAATTCGAATCTAAAGTCACGTGGATGGAAATTCAAATTCGTAGGCGTTACGTTTTGGCTGTCGGTCAGGAATCGGGATGCATTGATAAGTGAATATTATTAGGTTTTCTTGAACAAAAAGGTCAGTTCAATTTATTTAGATTGATTTCTACTTTGTATTTGATAAATAATTGCATGATTGCAAGCACTCTTACATTTAATTATCATTATTTGAACAGCTGAAGTAAAATGTCACACAAATTCGCGATAATGTCTAAATAATAAATCTTTTTGAAATTGACATGTTTTAACTCTGCTTGTGAAGAGTTTATAATATGCCTTTTCAGTACTACCAAAGAGAATGCTTAGTTTTCATATTTTTCTTAAACTGTGATGTTTTTGTCAGTTAAAATCTGAGAATTGAGAATGAATTTGTACGATTTCGAGCATTTCGGACCAAGACGTTTCGGTCCCAAATAACCCAAAACGTTCCGGTCCCAAAAAACGCAAGACGTTTTGGTTCCAGACATTTCGGCATTAAATCTTTAATTTAAAACTATGAAATATTTTAGACTTGCGTTAACTGTTCTATTTCAAACGTAGAATATATACATAAGTTAGAATATAATTTTCTTTTCAGGTAGTTAAAGTGTTGGACATGCTCTCAAAGGTCGGAGAGGACGGAAACACGTGAATATGTAAAAAGAAAACATATGAAAGTAAGATTTTTGTAAATTCTATTACATACTTTAATCCATACTAAACTGGAGTTTAAAAAGCGGCTTTTTTAAATGTTTCAGTATTTATGTTTACTTTTAATTTTTTGTTAAAGCTCTCTTATAAAAAGTTGGCAAAATTGTTCATTAAGTTAAGATAACCATGAAAACAATTTTGCTTGTTATTTTTTACATGTTTCATAAATTTCTTTTTTTTCAGTGAAAATGATGTCACACACGCTATTGGGCGCTACAAACGCTACATATCCTCCGGACAGACGAGGGGTGCAGAAAGAAGGTCATATCTTAAAGCATCACACCTCAAAATTCGTGCTAATTCTCATGGATATCTAAAAGTATAACTTTGTGAAGTAACTAAAAGGCAGCAATTTATACATTACTGACAATTATCAAAGGAGGTCAAAATATGCAAAATGGCACTAAATGTTTTAGAAATGCTGTAGAAATATAGTTAAATTACTGAAAATCTGTCATTAATTGCTTGAAACATTATTATCAGAATCTTTTAACTTTAATTAAAATTATAATATTTTCATTGTTTTATTTGGTAAGGCAAACTCTGATAGAAATGTGCATACATTGTTTTGTTCTTTAATATTTGTACATGTTTTCTTAGTTTCATTTATGTCATTGTTTTTGTAATACTTTTTGTTTTGTAATTAACTTTTTTTATGTTTTATTTTGTTTAATTTATGAAAATTATTTAACCTTGCAGAATTTACTAAAATTGTATGTATCAGCTTAAAATTGCAACTTTTATCTTAAATTAAAAAGCACGAAACATATTTTTGCTTTTAGTTTTCTGTATATACATTTCATTTGAGGGAAAGTTTCTTAATAGAATGAGTTACATTAAATTAGATCAAATCAGGATTAGCCAGAAAATATTTATGACGTGGTGAAACAAAAAGGATTAGGGGAATGATAAGATGAAGGCCAGAAAATGATCAGATTTAGGGCAGAAAAGGGTTAATATTTAGGTCGGAAAATGGTCAGATTGAGGTCGGAAAATGGTTAGAAACTAGTTAGATTTAGGTCGGAAAATGGTCAGATTGAGGTCGGAAAATGGTCAGATTGAGGTCGGAAAATGGTTAGATAATGGTCAGATTTTGGTCAGAAAAAGGTTAAATAATGGTTAGATTCTGACGTCTACCTGACGTCAGATTATTACGTCAAAAAAACTTTCAAATCCAACCGTTTTCCCGACCGTCATCCGACGTCAGAACCTGACTTAAATCTGACGTCAGTATGACGACTTGTGTTTGCTGGGGAAGTTTACCTTGATTGTTCACACGAAACCCCATATTGTGGTACAGTGTTCACAACAGTGAGCGTTCTGTAAAGTGAACCTGTTTTGATACTTCGTGTTGTGTGAAACTAAACAAAATATGCCGGGTATAACTGTAGCGGATCAAATTCTAACTGGAGTAGTGGCATGTTGGCATGCTAAACAATTAGGTATGTACCTTAACCTTTTATACAAACTATAAAGCTTAGTTTGTTCACATGTAATTTAATATAAGTATTTCAACATTTTCAGCCATGTGTAACATTGAACATGTTAGCTAGTCCATATACAATTTGCAATACACCTCTTAATTAACATCCAATCTGCATTTTAATGAATACTAATACATATACTATGTTTTAGTTCAGTTTAAATAATAAGTTACCGAGACTTTTGTAGTAATTTGTATTCGATACTTTTGCTTAACTATAATAATTAAGACACGTTTAAATACCATATAATTTATGATATATAGTACATATTTCAAGTAAATAAACATCCACAATATCGTCTGATGTCATTACGTATAGGTTAGTGTTTGTTAGAAAACATTAATGAAATTAAATATGTTTTAAATATGAATTGTATTTCCATTTCTGAAGAAATTAACTGTTAAAATATTCTAAGCCGCAGTTCTGTTGTCAATTTTTTACCAGTTAAGATTGAAACATTGTATTTTCATGTTAAATAAAGGAGGCGCAGCTGCAAAGATTGGAGATTTACGAAGAAAGCACGAAATAGCACCACCACGGACAGATGGACCAGACGAATTTATACGTGCATTAAGAGCCCAGTAAGTACACTCGATCGTTCACAATGATAACGCCTTATCCGTTAGATACATGTTAAACACGGGGCTTTTATATTTTTCAAAGTAAGAAAAATGTTTATGTATTGTAAAGATGTGAAACTTTAAGTATTGCAAGGTCAACAATGATTAAATGACTATAAAGATGATACATTTTGTATTTGCCTACATCATCTTTTATGCATCAGATTATGCATGAATACGTTTATGTTTGCTTTTTTTTGTTGCTTTTTATAACACACGTTTTCATGCATGAAGCGAAATCAATTATAATTATATTCATTTCTTAACAGGCAAAATTGTCTTGAGTTCGGAGTAACATTTGAGATCGTGTTGTGGCTAGCAGGGATATTTGGGCACCAAGGTTTGTTTGTTTGTTAAACAATAAAATCAATATCACTGAACTGTGGAAAATACAAATGTTTATATAATTCGCTATTTTAGTGTATGATAGGGTTTAAATATACAAATGTACTGTGTTTTTATTCCGCTTATACCGTGAAACAAAGTTATTTTACTTCATTTTTACATTTATTCATCTAATACTCATGTAATTTTATTTTACATCAGTGTAATAACTGTTTATTATCCCCCGCCGATGGAATCGGGAGGGGGATATAGTTTTGGCGTTGTCCGTCCGTCCATCCGTCCGTCCGAATTTCGTTTCCGGAGTAGTTCTCTGCAACTACTGGCTGGAATTCAACGAAACTGTATGGGAATCATCAATATCAAGAGGAGATGCGCATATCATCGGCTTGTTCCGGTCCGACCCTTTAACTTTGAGTTATGGCCCTTGATTAGTTATGAAGTATGCATATAGAGTAAAAATCGTTTCCGGAGTAGTTCTCTGCAACTACTGGCTGGATTTCAACGAAACTTTATGGGAATCATCAATACCAAGAGGAGATGCGCATATCGTCGGCTTGTTCCGGTCAGACACTTTAACTCAGAGTTATGGCCCTTGATTAGTTATGCAGTATCCATATAGAAAAATATTTGTTTCCTCGCTACTTCTCTGCTACTACTGGCTGGAATTCAACGAAACTTTATGGGAACCTTCAATATGAAGAGGAGATGCGCATATTGTCGGCTTGTTCTGGTCAGACACTTTAACTCAGAGTTATGGCCCTTGATTAGTTATGCAATATGCATATGGAGTAAAAAACGTTTCCGGGGTAGTTCTCTGCAACTACTGGCTGGAATTCAACGAAACTTTATGGGAATCATCAATATCAAGAGGAGATGCGCATATCGTCGGCTTGTTCCGGTCAGACACTTTAACTCAGAGTTATGGCCCTTGATTAGTTATGCAGTATCCATATAGAAAAATATTTGTTTCCTCGCTACTTCTCTGCTACTACTGGCTGGAATTCAATGAAACTTTATGGGATACTAAGAGGAGATGTGCATATAGTCGCCTTGTTCCAGTCAGATACTTATAACTCAGATTTATGGCCCTTGATTAGTTATGTAGTATGCATACATCTCATTGGCATTTCCAGATTTTACTATTTAACACAAAGTTATGGCTCTGTTATTGCCCTGAATATTTATCAAGTTCAAAGAATATTACTGTTTATGCCATGATTAATATATAAATAAAGCCTTATGTCTTCAGTTGTTGTGTTAATAATAACCAGTACTCGGCGGGGGATATAAATTCAACGAATTTGCTTGTTATAATATGATCTGTTTTATTTCAGTTCCTGCAGCAGTACTAGGGGCAATTTTCGTTTATTCACGTGAACAATACTTTAATGGATATATACAGGATGCTGAAAAAAGGTAACATACGTATATAAACAGAAACTCTTTAACTTCTCCAAATTATGCTATTACATGTTATTTTATTCACTAGAATCAATGTGCAAAAGAACAGTAAATACATTTATTATATACTTATAAATGAAATATTGATAAATATTAATTAAATAAAATGCGTATTTTCATTTTCCGTATTTTCACTGTAAAATTTTTTTTTTCACTGCAGTGAAACATATTTTCCGTTTTTTTCACTGGTGTCTTGCCGGACTACTTTCTATATCATCTATGTACTGGCAATATAGCTGTTAATTAATTCTATATATTTCAATATTTACTACATTGATATATTACAGAATAAAGCCATTTTGGATGGGTATCCGAGCACTAAAAGGCCTTTTCGCAGTGGCAATCTTAGGACTGGTGAATACCGCACTTGTCCACTACGCCGGGATAAACGTGCCCAACATGATAAAGGACAAATTATTTTAACTACAACAATTCTGTATAAACCAAGACATTGTATCCGAAGTGTAAATGTTACGTAAATAATGTGATAAAAAGGGAGCTAACATATGAAGATAACGAAGGGTATAGAATAGTTTTGTTGATAAATTGGGTTTTCATCATCAAATACCTCCATTTTACACATGAAAGACTGACCATTCATTTGTCAACATGTCAAAAGCATATGCAGATCTAACGCTGATTTATATCATAATCTTTAGCTGTTGTTTTAAAGTCTGTAAGTTTGTTGCTCTCAACTATAACATATACATTGTATATTGCATATAGTCTATATCTATATGTTATAGATGAGAGCAACAAACTTACAGACTTTAAAACAATAAAACAACATATATGTTATAGTTGAGATATTTTATATTATGTTTAAATATCATGTGGCCAACACTTGATATGCCATTATTTTCTCATTTATATGAAAGTTAGGGTAAAAAGGTGTTTGCATATTCATGACACATTGTGCATATTAGTTTCAGAGATTAGTGCCATAATAATCTGAACTCACTACTAATATCTGAATTAGAAAAGAATTCAAATTCAATTGTATATAAAAAAAACTTTGTATATTTAGATAATGTTTATTTATATATGTCTGTTTATCTTGTGTTAGTGAACGGACAAAACAATAAAATAATAATAAGAATATCAAGCACTTGTGTGTGTTCTTTATTTTACATACATGATGATTTCTCATTTGAACAAAGAGTTAATATCCGACTACGTACGTTATTCTACTGCTGTTACAAATTATACTTAAGGACAATGAAAACGCACGCCCGCACTATATGCATTTTATTACATGAAAACAAAACACTAACGACTCCATTAGATATATATCATAACTTCAATACAAAAAAGCAAACTTAACAAGTGAAAATAATTCAAAATGTTTAAAATCAAATGTACACCAGTAAATCGAAGAACCTTGGGTGAAAATCCCAAAATCACACTTTTTCATCACAGTAATGCAAACTTAACAAAGGCAAAAACCAAAATGAAAATCCAAAAGAAAGACACTCTAAATGTCTATTTGTAATGTCACCGTCGGGATGTTTAGAAACGACAATGTCCTCCATCAGTGTCTCTTACAGATGTACATCGTCGCCCCATAGACCTTACGGTGCGGATAGTCGCCTGTGGAATCTAACACTATTCGGCCTGTAGTGTAGTGTGAAAACGCTGGTGAAGCCGCGAAATTGTAGACGGATGGACACCAAAACGGTTGGCGCTTTGATAATAAAAAATTTGATTGTAAGATAGACCAGACTGAATCTGTCCTAAATTTACCCAGCGGTTAATTCTTTGTAGAACCATTGCATACAATTTGCTAGCAAATCTTCAGTATTTTTTGAAAATAAGCACCTTTAATAGAGGAAAAGTGTGTATATGCAATTTCAATGTGAGTTTTTACGATTTCTAAAACTGACCATTGGCATAGTTTAATATTCATTTTCATAAAAAAATTAATTGCTCATTTGTGTCTAACATTTCCTGAAATGTATGAAAAACAAGTTAATAATTCATTTCATTTTATTGGCAAATCAGCAAATAAACATTACCTTTGGCCATTCACAGAGTATCATGACAAATATGGCCAAAAGTTAAATAGTTACAAACATTACATCATACAATATATAACAAAAAGAATACAAGAATGAAACTAATTAAGAAGCAGTTACATCTTCAAGAGACTGTTGCCTCAACTTAAATGCATTATGAACATAGTGAGCACATTTAAGAATAAGCTTTTTGTTATTAGTGGACAATATAGTCGAAAATTTTTGTACAGTAGGCCATGAAATGTTTCCTAAATATTTGGTTCTTATAACAGTATAAATTGGACAACATAAAAGGAAGTGGTATTCTGATTCAATAGAGTTATATATACATAGTTTACATTTGCGATCGTTTCTATCAATGTTAAAAAATCTTCCAGTTTTTATTTCTAAGTTATGCGAGCCTAGTCTGAAACAAGCAAAGTCTTTTCTTAACACATTATTTGTTAAAACATCAAGATATTTTTCATAACAAAAAGAAGTTTTGAATTTTCTGTAATAATCAAGCTTGGGCATATTTTGTATAGAAGTATTCCAGTTCTGTAAATATTGGTCTCGCAGACGCTGCTTTAACATTGGCATATAATTAAAATTTAACTTAAGTTAAGCCAAATATCACTACAACCTAAGCTGTCTAACAAGCGTTTTATACTGCTTGCCCAATTACAATCAACATTTCGATTACACTGGTCTACAAACATGTTGTACATTGGTGAGTCCTGGTTTTTCATAATTTTTAACCAGAATTTAAGAGTTCTTTCTTTAGAAATAACAGAAAGAGGAAATCTTCCTAACTCACAAAACACAGCAACATTCGGTGTTTGCTGACGTACACCAAGTATATACTTGCAAAATTTAACATGAATTTTGTCTATTTCTTTACAATCATAAATACCCCAAACCTCTGCATTATATAACAAAATTGGTAGCACCATAGAATCAAAAAGTGACATTTTAGTTTTTATATCTAAATTTACTCTACTGAATAACCCTAACAAACAATTGTATGCTTTCAAAGCTTGTTCAGACAGCGTAATAGCAGCAGTTTTCATATTACCAGTGTATGTAAAATTTACACCTAAATAGCAAAAATGGTCAACAACTTCAAGCATTTCACCATTTATAAACCATTGAAAATGATGTCTTTGTTTACGTTTTTCAAATATACATATTTTTGATTTATTGACATTTATTTTTTAAACCCCATTTCATGGAATAACTATAGACTGCATCTAACTGGGCTTGTAAGCTGTGCGGGTCAGTGGTAAAGAGCGCTATGTCATCAGCAAATAGCAACATATACATAGATAACTGGTTAAGATCATTGTCAGTAAGAGAGTTATAATCAATGTTGTCACATATATCATTTACAAAAAGGATAAATAAAATCGGCGAGAGTGGTTCCCCTTGTTTTAATCCAAGGGTAACGTCGAAAAAAATCAGAGAGAGGCATCGAAGATGACAATTTTACACAAGAGGTAACAGATGCATATATCGACTGTAACATAGTTAACATTTTACAACTTATACCAAGTTTCAAAAGCTTTAACCATAACGCATCTCTAACAATAGTATCGAAAGCTTTTCTCGTAGTCGATGAATGCGCAATATAGTTTCAATTTACAATTGACTATATTTTGAATAATAGAATGGAGTAAAAATACACAATCTGTTGTAGACCTATTGTCTCTAAAACCGAATTGAGAATCATTAAACATTTTTTGCTCTTCACACCATATGTTTAATCTATTTCGAAGAATAAGTGAAAATATTTTAGCAAGTACATTGACAAGGGTGATTCCTCGATAATTGGAAGGATTAGAGATATCCCCTTTTTTGTGTATCGGAACAATAATACCTTTAGACCAGGCACTTGGATAAATTCCAGTATCAAATATTTTGTTAAAAAATACAAGGTATGGAGCTATAAAAGTGTTTGCATCAATAAAAAAAAATCTGCTACAATTTTACTATAATCAGCACTCTTGTGTCTCTGCATAGAACGTATTGTTTTAGAGACTTCCTCTACAGTAAATGCGCAATCTAATTTATCAATAAACAGCTGTTCGGGTCTACTATTATGCTCATTTTCCTGAGAGTAATAAGGCTGCTGATTGCTGGAGATATTCTTAAAATGGTCTACAAAATCAGAAATATTAACATCAGATACATTTGTTGAACCCTTATTTCTAAATTTATTTATATACTTCCAAAATTTCCTTGGACTATGTTTACTCATGGAAGACAATTTAACTTTTTCCTTGTAATTAAAGTTACGTTTTGCTTTCTTTTTTACATTACAAAACATACGCCTACTATTCAAAAAAGTTAGCTCTATTTGCTTCAGAAGGATTATTATGGAAAATTCTTTTATTATTCAAGAAAGATGTTTTTGCCTGTTTACAACTATTGTCGAACCATGGCACTTTTTAATTGCTTTTTTAGACTTTTTAGTGTGAAAAGTTTTACCATTCATTTTAAAAGATATATCATATACAATATCTGTAAAGTTATTTATACACACATCAATATCAATTTCATCCGAAGCTAATTTAACCGACAATTCATCCAATAATAATTTTTTTTATCGTTCAACAAAGATTGAAATAAATCTGGATCAGTATCAGTCCACACAATTTTATCATAAGTTAATAAATCAGTGTGATAAAATATCATATGCTCACAATCTAATGAAAAAACAAGTGGGCAATGATCAGAAAATTCTGTCAATTCCAATATATTCATATTTGAAAAACTTGCAAAAATTTTCTATAGTCAGTTATCAAATAATCGACAACACTAGCCCCTTTCACATTCCGACTGGCATTGTAGCAAGTAAAATCTCCTCGTTCAAGGCGACCGTTACAAATTAAAAGGTCATTTTCTTTGCATAAGGCTAACAGTTTATTTCCGAAGGCGTTCACAGTGTTATCACGAGAAAAAGCGTGCAGGTATTGCTCGTATAGATCCATCGTCATTCGGCATATCAATGTAACGGTCGAGGTTAATGTTCTCAACATAATCCAATCTTTTGACCTGTCCTGGCATTCAGGTCACCTGTCAAATATGTGTCACCCAGATATTTATACTTGATGATATCAGCGTTTAATTGCTCGAAAAAGTCAAATTGATATAATTAAGAGGAAGCACTTTTGTACACATTGGATTCATTTGGCGGAATGTAACAAGTAAAGAAATACTGGTCATTTTCGGTCCCAAAATATTCTTTCTTTAATTTAATCCATACTATGCCTTTCATATTCAAACAAACAAGCTCAATTTTGTTTATATACTTATCTTTGTAATAGATAATAATACCGCCACTAGAGCGTTTAGCCTTTTTATTAGATTTAGGTCTAGGACATGAAAAGTGATGATATCCATCTATTTGAAATATTAGTTATTCTAGAATGCCAGGTTTCAGTAAACAAGAGCACGTCATATTCATTAACTAAATTCAGGAAGTCACTATCAGATAACTTATTTATAATACCTTGAACGTTCCAGGATAACACTTTAATATTTTGCTGCTTCTCGGCATTATCCTAGTTTGATGATGGAATGAAGCGCTGGCCATTTATAAAAGTTTATCGTAAGCTAGGACAGCGTTCTTATTCTGCTCCTTTGCACTTACAAGATGCAGAATGAGTTTCCTTCTGCGTTCTTGTATTATCTTAGGATATTGGTCGCCCACTTTTAATGCCAGTTTCCTCTTGCTTGGAATAAGCGGTCTGTTTAACAGAAAGTTTATCTTGAAAAAAGTTAAAATTTTGGCGACAATAGGTCTGGTCTTAGTGGAGGAGAAACTGCCTACACGCTGCGCACGGTCTATTTTTACATTATGTCGAAAATCAGGCATGCCTAATTTGTTTTCACAGAAGTCATATATTAACTCTAAACATTTTCATTTCTTGCGCTCTTCAGGGGACGACAACTCTTTAAAATTGTAGAACATTAGGTTGTCTCTCATTGAGCGAGACTGAAGATCCACAAGCTCATCGGACAATCTGCTATTTTCGGATTTTAATTCATCAAATTCGCGCGAAAGATTGGAGTTGGTACGCTGTTGGTCGTGGAGGCTTGAATCTATTTTGGCTTGTTTCTGACTTATTTCATCACAAATTTGCGCATCATAATTTCAGCTTGTCTCTATATCATTGATTTTGCGTGACGATTCGTGTAATTTGCTTTCAAGCGTGGACACTCTATTGTCCATTAAAGTTAATTTTTGCGACATAGTTGTGATCTGGCTTTCAATAGAATCTAGTTTTCTTAACCGTAAATCTATTGCCTCGAGCTTCTCCATTATAGTGTGATTGAAGTTCATAGAGGTTTGTTGAGGGGGTGTAGCAAAAGCCGGAGAGTTCATGTAATGCTGAGGTTGTGGGGGAGGGTAGTTCGGACCTTGGTACTGAGGAATCTGTGATAAAAATGTGCCCTGGGATGAGAGTAGACTTGGTGATGTCTGGTCTGCCATCGTAGATCGTTTATCTGGCTGAATGCTTAAATAATTTGGTGAAGACTCAGATTTCGTACGCTTCTTATGTCCTTTCTTACCACCCATTTAAAATGGAATCGTCTACAGAAACATCATCAAATATGAAAAACGTCTATAACATCCAAACTTGTACATCCAAAAGTTGGTTAACTGACAGAAAAGCTTACAGAATAATGAATATTTTCAGCTGTATAAAATTAGTTCATCATATCTCTCAAAAACATACGTAAATCCAACTTTTTCAACGATATACCGGGAACTCAAAAAAACACGTCCGCCATATTTGTCACGTGATTTTAATAATTAACAGTTTAAAAAATAAATAATTTCATTTCATAAAGTAACCATGAATTGATTAAATCTGTTTTCTGTTGTGATCTTATCACAATTAGCCAAAGTGTTACTTTTGATTTTTCGGGTACTGTCTTTATCATGCAATAACTTCATTAAAATGCAATATTTTTCATCACTTTGGTATCTAAATGACCGAAATGCATTCGGTTTTATGAAACTGTGAAATTTTTTTTAAAAGAAATATATTTTCCTTGTTAAAATGCAATTATCCCGACCGTGCGTTTTCATTGTCCTTAAGTATAGATGACTTTGACGTACCATACGTCCATAGACTGGTCTATTTTTTCCGATGAAAAAGAGTATAAGTTTCTATCTTTTATTGATGCATACATTTTTATATACGACATCTTGCATTTGGTAGTTTCAGCCGCTAGCTTTCATTTAAAGGACATCATTACAAAGGCACCGTAAATACACAAACTGAATATCATTTAGTTTGATATGTTATTATATGATCTAGCTAGTCTAGTTTAACACTGGGTTATAATCTGCCTTTCCATCTCGTAACAACCCATCCAAAATCTGCGAAAATCGACCATAATGTAAACAAAGCTTCCCATGTTGAGCTTATAAGGAAAGCAAATAAGTTGTGATAGGAAAAAAAGTTCACAGCAGTGTTCGTTGGTTTAACTTTGTTTTCATTTAAACATTAAATTTGGTTGTTTTTACCAGGGTCATATAGGAAGACCCTGTTTTTACTGACCTGATCGGACCAAACATCAGGAAGGAATCACTTAAAGACAGAAATGTCTACTTTTCAAAAACTTTTATATTGAATAATTTAAAAGGTAACGATCCTTGAAATCACTTTTATGAGTAGGGCAAACATTTGCAGGATCAACTATAAAACGTTGATTTGTTAAATAACGGTATCATGAATATGTTGTTTTTTATGGGGTTTTTTTTTTCGATTTTTCCGGGATGTTGTTTCATTTTCTGTATTATCATAGTTCATTATACTTTTCACATTAAACACCAAATCTATTACATGTAGGAAAAATATGATGAAAACTCACGATTGATTATCCATTACAAAGGTTGTAAGCAAGATGGAAATACATTTTCTTTTTCAAACAAATCATATTCATTTAATTCAAATATTATATTATAAAGTATAAAAGAATATTATGACAAACGGTATATCATATAGATTTATTTTTAATTTTCGTTCATCCAGGTTAATTAATCCAATTTATTCCAGAACATATATAATCATTAGTTTTTAGCATAGATAAATATATATACATATATTGTACAGGTCACAGACTTCACACACATTTTTCCTCATTCAATACCGTTTGAACCCTTATCCTGCTGAACTTGTGCCATGGATTGTCCTGCTTGAATTTTGAATAGTCCAATTAAAGTTTAAATGATTTCATTTACAAAATACAAAGCAGTATCGAGCCTTATCAGAATGTACGGATGTGGATGCTTGCCGGACTGGTACTTGTGGCACAGGTTTGTCATATTCTGTTTCAGCAGGTCAAGGGTTAAGGTTTAATGGTATTTAAAACAGATACAACAATTTCTCAACTGCTATATTATTCCTTGTTTATAGAGTAAATAACAAGTTATATAAACAACTGTATGAAGTACTAGTAACAAGTCCTTTGTACTATTATTTGATATATAATTTGCACACTACAGAAAGAAAGGTGAAATGCCTTTTTATATAAAAAAACATCTAGTTATGAAATCAGCCGTAACTGACATCCATAAAATACCTTTCATTTTGCCAACAAATGATAAAGTAAATGTTTGTATTACAAAATGATATTTCACTGTACAAAAATATGAAGGAAAAGACTTGACATGCAAAATACTGACTTGCACAAACCTAGAGTTTCTAATTTGTCCGCATGTTTTGGTCTATATATTGTTTATAATAACTGTCTAGTTTACGGCACTGTTGGCAGTTACGTCTTCCACCCCAGCCTGATATTTCGGCGGTTCGAAGCAGTGAATGCGGTGTTTGCCAGTGAGTGACCAGCCTTTTATATATTTGTTCAAGACATCAAAGATTTGACTATTTAACAACTTTAATTTCCAAACTCGGCTCATCATCCTATTCAGTTGCTGAAATTTTAACAACAAAAAAAGTAATCAATAGTAAGTAATGAACGTAGTAGAAGTGAAAGGGTGGTAGAAAATACACTAACACACAAATTATAATTGCAATTAACGTGTTAGTGTCTTTTCATTATTAAATGTTTATGGTTAAGCAAATGCTTTGAAAAAAATCATTCAGTGACCGAACGGTAAATGGTAAGATATTTTCACCGCTGAATTTATTAAGGAGAAAACATTCGACTTCCTGATTTCGGTAGCATAATCACTGTGTCCAACAGTATGCCAAAAATGCAGTGAATTATGCATTTGGCTATGTACTTTGATAAGTGGATTTCGCATAAGCACAAACGCCTGAATGTGGAGGGATACACATTAAGATAGGAAGATAATATATTTACAATTCCTTCTACGGTTTCTTCTTGCTTATCCAGTCTGTTCAGCTCCAGAATGTGGTAACAAAAATCCAGTGCTTGAAATCTTTTCTGTTGTCCTAACAACACTATTATTGCACAACCAGCCCAACTTAAACTGTCTCCAAACAGCGCCCTTAGAAAGTTAACATAGATAATTATAGAAACATAAAAATTAAAACCAGTAACACGAAAACATACGAGGGAACCGTCAAAAGTTTTGTCCATTAGACAATAAAAAGCCGTACACTCATGGAATAATCGTGCAGTATTTATCTTTACACGGTTTAGTTCTTTATCTACACAATGATGTCAAAATCATTGATGTGCGACAAGTATAACTTACATAAAATTGGGATCTTAAATGAGTAGTCATTCATACTAGTGTTTAAAATGGTTGGTAAACGTTCGTTGAAAAGTGATGAAATTCGCACCTATATCAAAGCTCGCAATGAACTTAAAATTGAACCAAAATCTATCTTTAATGAAATATGCCAAGTTTATGGGGATAATGAAGTATCGTATAGGCTGGTTAGAAACTGGATTGCGAAATCGAATAGTGGATTAGACTCTATTCAAGATGTATCTAGATCTGGCAGGAGACGCACAGCAGTGACCCCGAAAAACATCTCGAAGATTAGTAATATTTTGAAGTCAGATGCCAGATATACGTCTCCCGAGATAGCTCAGATGACTGGTATTTCAGAAGCATCTGCTCGTAGGATTTTAAAGAAGAACCTTGGACTTTCACGCAAAGTTGCTCGATGGATACCCCATATTCTTACCAAGGACCAATTGACACAACGTGTTAAGATGGCCAAAAAACTATTGAAGTTATACCCTAAATTTGAGCGAAAGCGTTTTGTGAACATAGTTACTGGTGACGAAACGTGAGTTCATTTTTTTGAACCACACAGGAAAATAGATAATAAGATTTGGGCCACACGACACGCTCGTAGACCAGTAATTGCTAAAAGAACGATTAGTGTTAAGAAAGTAATGTTGGCTGTATTTGTCGACATCAATGGTCCTATTATTCAAGTCTCTGTACCTAAGGGGCGCACAGTAACAAGAACATTATACAAACGAAAAATTCTAAAAAAAGTTAAATAAGTACTTTGAAAAACGTCGACCAAGGACAGGATTAAGAGGTGTTCACTTATTACACGACAATGCCCCAGGGCAAACATCTAGTGTTGTAAAAGATTTTTTGAAAACCAAAAAAGTGACAGTTCTTCCCCATCCACCCTATTCACCAGACCTGGCTCCTGCAGACTTTTTCCTGTTTCCAAAATTGAAAAGAATGCTGTCTGGAAGGAAATATGGCAGTCGTAATGCAGTAGCTTCCGCTGTTTATCAGTGTCTAAAACGTATCCCTAAAAAAGACTATGAAAATGCTTTTCGGAATTGGCTTAAAAGGTTGAAGTTATGCATTTCTCACAATGGAGATTATTTTGAAGGAAATAAAAAGAAATAATTTGAAATTTGCATTTTGTTCAATTTTTAAAGACCAGTGGACAAAACTTTTGACGGTTCCCTCGTAATACACGTTAAATGTTAATAATGAAATTAAATTGGAGCTAAATTGGAGCTAAATTGGATTGTAAATAATAAAAGTGAAGTACTTGAATGACTTTCAGAAACCAAAACAAATATTTGTTATAACATTATGTGTATATTTGTCAACTTACTCGACGGTATGTTCAGTTTCCCTGTCAGGCACGCAAAATACGTATTGTATAGCACTCCACAGTCTGTGAAATTCTATACTATTCTCGACGCTTATGACACCGTTATCTGGTGTGGGTCCTCGCCATACTGGATGCTCAAAAAACGTCTGAACTCGTTTTAAGATTACATCAAACATCGACAACCCCATACAAAGTCTCTCTCGGGTTAATTTATTACCCATGCGAACTATGTCATTTTGCTAAAAATTCGATAAAAAAATATTACAATTTAGTTAAAACCATGGCTAATGTATATTTCATTCAAATCAATATTATAATTATGGTATGCAAAGATAATCTAGTTTAATTAATAGCGCTTTTTATTTCCACACTTTTCTAACAAAATCAAACGCCTTACAGAAGAATAGACAGTATTGTTTACTGAAAATGTACGAGTATAAGTTATCTTTTGCTAAGTCCTGAGATAAACGTTTTAAACAAGTTAAATTATAGAAGACCTTATACCGTTTCGTTTCCATTCTTTTCAATTATGTCAAGTACATGCAGTGACAAGCAAGACTGTTCCATTTCTTTCATCTTACACACCATTTTCTCCTCCACCTCGTCTCGATTCTTACATTCTACAACAATCATTAAAGAACTGATTTTTTTTAAAAGTAATTAGCAACATGCCGGGCGGAGATGCTGGCTTATTGGTTCATCTCTGCTGATTTCAAACGTCATATTTATGACTTAAGTGGTGCTGCTTTACTTTACAACAGAATTTTGATAATTAGGTTTTATCAATTAACATATGTCCAGCTTATTAATCAAATAAAATTGAATTTGAATTAATTTTTTGAAAGGGATTTATTGATTAAAACAAAAATAAATGTGTCTTACTTTTGACATCTACATATGGTTTAGGTATGATGTGTTGGAACGGTGCAGCATGTAGAATATCGAGCGCCTCCTCTTGGTTCTGAAATATATGAAAATTAAAAAAAAATACTATTACTGATGTAGATTTATATAATGTACTATGTTAACTGCTGACAAGAATGACAGAATTTAAAATTTTATTTAATTTTATCATTTTCGAATTAAAACAATATGCTTTTATCAGTGTATATGATATATAAGCAAATGGTATAAACATTTACGACCGCAATTGCTATGTGAAATTAAGTCTTACAAGGGCATTTTCCAGTGCGAGGAAAAATAGAATAGCGTTGCCAACTTCTCTGAAAATTTGGAACATTTGTCTCTTGTCGGAATATTGGATGATCTCAAACAATTGATGATGGTAGTAATCAGTAACACCTGCAGATATAATATATTTTTAATCTATGTTTCTATATATATGGTTAGACAGTATTAATAAATCTAAATTGCATCTAAATTAAAATGACAAATATTTGCCACATGAAAACTGCCTTTTGGAATGTTCTATGTGCAATATCGTTTTAATTGCAGAAACTTCTTTATTTTTTGTCTATTGGCCATTTCAAAAATAATATGCTGCTGTCATATATACAAAATGTACTATATTTGAAATCTATGTTAGTAAGGCAACATTAACCAATCTAAATTGCATCTACATAAAAATGACAAATATTGCCACAAAAACGTAAAGAAAAAAACAACATCTTCTTAACTGCCTCATGAATTATGTGAGCTATTTTATCAGCAATATCTTAATTTAAATTGCAGAAACTTCTTCATTTTTGTTATCTATCGGCCATTTCAAAAATAATATCTTGATGTCAGAATGTTACAAATAATTCAAATATAAAAGGAACAGACTATAAATTTAAAAAAAAATTCTTACAGGAAATAATAAAACATACCAGAAGATCCATATTCACTTCGAGGCAGACGACAGTTATGAGGCATGACTGAAACAAGAGTTGTAGTATAGCTGCACAGAGGACCTTTCACCTGGAAAACACAGAAAATTCATTTCATATGATTTTCTAAATAAATGGTCTTATCAATTCCAAAGGATGAAATAACTGGAAATGAGCTGAACTAAGCATGAGGAGTACATTTTCAAAATATGCTTATAAACGTGTAAACAGACGGCTATGGGTGATGTTAAATAAGCTTATGAAATGGCAGAAATAAAAATAATTTTTAAGCTTTCTGTTCCATCTCACAGTATGAAAACAGTATAATACAAATTAATATCTATTAAAAATTTAAAATCAATCGTTGAAAAAAAATAATGAAGTCTTTTTTGTATGTTTTTTAGGTTTGAAATATACATGTATTAGTGGCTATATAATTAAGTAGCTTGGTGAAAAAACCAAAACATACCAAAAAATCCTAGCAAGGTCATAACATTCATCCATTTACTAATATTTACAGAAAAATCTTCGAAAATTAAAAAGTGCTTGCTTATCATTTTATGAGAACTTTCCAATTACCTTATCTTCCACAATTTTCAAAAGTTCCTCAACAACGACAGCAATATCTTGATAACCAAGCAGCCGACAAATGACCCGGAAATGTGGTGATCCGATAAAGCCAGAATAAAGACTGTATATGCAGCCAAACGAATGGGTCAATCTCTGTAAGATACAACATTTGAGCCGCGTCACGATAAAACCAACATGATGCGTTTGCGACCAGCATGGATCCAGACCGCGCAGTCTGATCAGGATCCATGCTGTTCGCTTACAAACCCTATTACAAGTAGAGAAACTGATAGCGAACAACATAGATCCTGATCAGACTGCGCGGAGGCGCAGGCTGGTCTGGATCCATGCTGGTCGCAAACGCATTATGTTGGTTTTATCGTGACGCGGCTCATTTCTTGTTAATACCAATACCAATTATAAACATACCTGTTCTCGTGATAAAGGTTAGTATTAGAACTGAAGGAAATGTTTTTGCTGTTTTTGATTTTATTTATTTTTGTCAACGTTTTCACTATTAAATTCATTCTGAAAATGAACATATTTTTGTTAGAGTTTTTCGTCACACCAACACTGTAGATTTATGGCGAGTTTCAAGCTTTAGTGGTGAAGGAAGACCTCGGGTTCCCCGTCGTGTATTATTTCAGGCACAAACGGGCACCTAAATAGAACAACCAATGTTCCGATACTGGACAGCTTTATCGCATGAAAGAATCCAGTTCCTGGAGGGATTCGAACCCACAGTATTTAGGGACGAGAAAATGAACAGATTTAAAGGTAAAGTGTAATTCTTAATTAAATGTTAATATTTGAATGACAAGATATGTTTCACCTGTGAACCCCAAAGATATGTGGGAGAAGGGTTTCCAAATTTGTCTCGCTGTGGTACTTGCATGACTACCATCTCAGTCTTCACAAATCTGAAATACGTCACAGCATTGAAAATAACAGCAATAGTGCTCATCTTATAATAACCGATAAACTATTTCTGAATACCTAAGTTATGCATCTTGCTAGTATGAAAACAGACATTACAGTAAATGTTACAACACAGACCCAAAGAAAACCTTGTAGAAGTTTGACCAACAGTTATCATAACCCGGTTTGTCTTTTGAAATATACCACCGACTTGTTATAAGCATAACTTGCGAGTGATGCATAAAACATTACATTCAAGCCCTATTTCAATAATTATTGAACCAATAAATTTCAAAAGTTTCATATTTCTGTTAATGCAGATTTATTCACGATTATTCTGCTTTTGCGATGACATTATTTAGGTTCCAAACTAATTATATGCTTCTGTATACGGATATACATATATGATATTAATGAGTTGATAAAAAATAATAAAACACCTTTCAGTAGATGAGTTGTAGCAGTAATTAGGTAAGAAGTCATGGTTAAGTTCCCAGAACACGTGTAGAGTTATTCGACCATATGGTGCTGTCACGGTGTGGTTGGCTTCACGAAACATGTCCTCAAACTCATCAAGTGGTAGGAATTTCTTCAACAGTCTATGAGTGAGCCTGTTACATTCTATCAAACCATTTAACTCCTACAATATCCGGAATATTAACAGTACATTTGGGTAAAATATTGACATATCATTTAACTCACTTGTGTTATTTGGCTGATACATACTGATACTCAAAATATATTTAGAATGTATAGTGATTTGACAAGTGACGAGTTTACATTAAACTTTTAAATAAGCTTTTGAAATGTAAATTACTTTTTTTTTCAAACCATCGGGAAATTGTAACATACTGTGTCATACTATTAAAAAATGATTGTTAATAGTGAAAGCATACCATTATTCCAGTAAGATCGGCAGTTTCAAACCTTGAAATGGCTATATCTAGAGAGTTTTGGATAACGCTGTTTATTGTTTGTGCAATCAATTTGTTAAGATCTATAGAACGACCAAGAACTTGGACATGTCGTTGTTTCAGTAAGCTCTCGTACCGATGTGCTCTGGGGCGGCTAACTGCTATACCAAGACTGTCACATTCATCACGGTATGTTTTATCCAACATCAAACTTTAATTACATATAAACAACATTACATCAATTGATTTTTTTCTAAATTTTTAACATACACATTTAATCGATTCTGAAATTAGCACTTTAAGAATCTGTTGCAATAGTTTTATATTATTATACATAAATCTTACAAATATCTCGGCTAGTTAACAAGTAAAGGATTTAATTGCTCCAACATTCAACACACGGTAAATATTGTAAGTCATGCAAACATAGTAATGGAATGAAACAAAGGAATGCGAATGAATTGGAATATATTCTGAACATGATGTAAATTATAAGCATTATGCCATATACATGTATGTATATTAAGTAATACAATAATTCGATATGAAATACTTGATTTTCTGCAAGGAGTGTAAAATTTCATTTTATCACATTTATTTGAAAAATGTCACCGGAGTCTCCAAAATTGATGAAAAAGAATTACCATGCTGCCAGTCGTTTGTAGTAGGCAAATATTTGATCACTTAGTTTATACACAAACTGGTCAAAGCAAAGGTCCACCTGTAGCAATAAAAAATACATTTAATAGATATATCATTAAAACTTTTAACATACATTACATGTATATCGTATTAGTAAAAATGCAGTGTCGACTTTTTTGAAATATAAGACAGAGAGATTCTGATAAAAATCGTGACGTTTTGTATTGATTTAAAGTGGAAGGAAGTAAATTGACCTCAGCTTCTATTTCATCATAGAGATATTGTTGTCGGAACACAGTGAGAGCGTATGTCGCACTATCATTGTACAAGTCAAGAGGGTACAGCATGTACCTGAAATAAAAGAAAATTATAGAAAAGTAGATTAATCAGTAATCTATTGGGCTAATTGACATTGCCAAAGACAATTTATTTATTGGTATTGGCGTCCGGCCCATTACAACAATAATTTCATAATAATACAATTTCATGACTGGTGCTAGTGCAGATATTTATGAATTATAACAGTCATGGTTTTTATACTATATATTATATTGTTTCTTACTATTTTAAATAAAATATATTTAAACTTATTTACTGTAAGCAACAACACTGTACTGTGTTGTTACCATAACTTCAAGTTATATTTTAACATCTTCGTATTCGTTTTGTTCAATTTAATATTCAATATCTATTATTTGTTAATACATTTACATAATAAAACATTATTAGTTTCTACATGAAACAATAACTTTGAATGATAGTAAGTCTTCTGATTCATTTTATAGTTATTTATCATAATAAGTTGGCAACACTTATAAATAAATTGGCTAACTATGAATATACATTGGGAAATACCCACTCTATCATGTGCGGTTCCTTTGTTTCTAGTACATGGTCAGTCAATATCCATGGCATAGACATTTCTATCGGAAACTGAAATATAAGATATCATATGATTATAACAATAAGAAAATATTCTGATTTAAAACATAACAAACATTTACTTTCAAGTAATGAAAATGTACTAAAAATCAGTTTTACTCAGCTAAGAAATACGAGTAGAAAAATGAAAAACAAATTTGAGAAAGTATTTTTAGTTTAGTTTAGTTTAGTTTAGTTTACCTGCACTCTCGATCCCATGGCCATCTCAAGGAAGAATTCTCTGTACCAAAGTTGTCCCAGATCACAGCAATTGTGTAGAGATTCTGTATCGATGTATATATATATTAAGAGTATATCAGATTATAACAATTAAGAAAATATTCTGATTTTAAAACATAAACAAACATTACTTTTCAGTAATGAAAAGTACTAAAAATCAGTTTTACTCAGCTAAGCAAATACGAGTAGAAAAATGAAAAAACAAATTTGAGAAAGTATTTTTAGTTTAGTTTAGTTTAGTTTAGTTTACCTGCACTCTCGATCCCATGGCCATCTCAAGGAAGAATTCTCTGTACCAAAGTTGTCCCAGATCACAGCAATTGTGTAGAGATTCTGTATGATGGTATATTATAAGTCAATTAAGAGTTAAGGTTTAAAGAAACACATGCAATTAAGACAATAAAATCATATACCAGGAATATATAAATATTACCATAGTTGCATTGATGCAGGACCAATAAACCCATAATGTATTTCGAGAAGAAAATAAACATTTTTACAGACTTTCTTTAAGTAGAAACAATAATCATATTCATTATCATAAGACAATTGTTATAATAAAACTCCCTGAATAAACTTACCATTCAGATTTAACATATTGCTCCAGTAAAAGGACTTGTTATGAAAACTATGAAAGGCTGCTGAATGTTTTTGTCCCAAATGACTTTTGAATGATTTGTTAACACCGGCATGCTTGTCCCCAATCAGTGATTCTAACATTGTTCGTACCATGTACAACTGCAATAAAAGTCATTTAAAGCATTCCCTTACATTGTGACAAATATATTTCAACACCATCCATCTTGCCACTTTGTACATGTTAAATTAGTTTTGTTTGTCTGAGATTTAAAATGGTTTTGTTATAATTGTATTAATTCATAATAATAAAAAAAAAACAACAAACGCTCCTTTACTTTTCCTGTTACAATAGCACTTTTTTAGTTTTTGAAATTTTCCAATTATTTCTATAAAAAAAAGTAGAAAAGGTATCTTGACTATGTAAAACTAAAAAGTACCTATATATCTAAATTTGTCCATATAAACTCGTAAAAGATACAGATATTTTTGTCTTATCAACAGTATAATCTCTACAAAAAAGTAAAACATGGAATCAACCTGCGTCGTTGATAGACCGACATTGCGTCTAGGAACTTTGATATTAAACGAGTTGTGAGATTTCTTTCCGCTCATCGCCGGGTCATCGGTTGGTTCATGACCTCCAAGCCAGTCTACACACGTACTCCGTACTGCCAACAGTATACTTAAACATAAAAAAAATCAAGCAATAGATACATCTTGGTTATAACTGCATGATGCGAATAAAATGTAGTGATATTAAAACAAAAAGTGAAATTTTTCACCTTTTTAGACATTTTCTATCGGTTTTCTATCGATTTTAAAACAAATGAATTACAATGTATATATGCAACGGAAAACAACTGCATTCATTAATAAATATACATTGTAATTACACTTTTAGAACACTGTGTCCATTTTTGATAGATTTTCTGATGGGCTCCCGTAATTCCAATTGTACAAAGTCCTGTAACTCCGCATAAATATGGCGTCGTATAGCGTCCATGAACACTGACTCTATACGTAACATGAGCAACTGTAACCCTTTTATCATTGCAATCACCTCAATGATCGCCGTCTTCTCCGCTCCACTGAAGTTATAACGGGTAGCCTGTAACATAAATGATCACTATTTTAAACATTGAATTGTATCATGTTAACACAACATTATTCGAACTTCTAAAATTCATAATTCTGTTATATGAGTTAACAAGTTCTTCATCGGGGTGCTGTCTGTGATACGCAGGCTACATTATTACATCTTATTCTCCTTCAAGTTATATTTTACTGAGTTCAACCAATTGTTTAGGACACTTGCTGCTTTATCGGGGACCATTCTTTTCTTTATTGCACAGTAGTGTAACAATGAAGGCTTAAAGATCAACGCTTTCTGAAGACATCTGAGGATGTTAATTAAATATAATTTTTCGTCTGTAAATGTTGAAATCTACAAAAACCGGTGCAAGGGGCATGAACAGTAGCTTGTATTTACTAAAACCATCAATGAAGAGGCAAATCAAACTGAGACGGTAATATTTTTAATTTTACCATATTTGGGTCGTTCTTTCAGCTTCCAATTTTAATTATTTTTCGTCCATTACCCTCATGTTAGAACTAAAATATCTCACATATAGAATATACGAGACTATCTAAATATTAGAACACTGCATTATTCTGGGGATCAAACAAACTTCTATAAAAATAACATATATCACTCATGGTAAAGGGTACGTGAGGCATAATAAAAAGACATACTCTCTCGTATTCTTCAGCCTCCTCAGGACACGAAGTGTTCTTATGGGGATCAGTGGGATTCAACAACTTCCAGGAAAACTAAAATACAAATAATCACCTCTTTCTGAGAAAGCAACACAAGGAAATGAAAACAATTATACCTAAAATGTCTTATGTTTAATAACGGAAACATTTATACTTAAAATCAAAACAACAGAAATTAAACAAACGATACAAATGACATAAATTTATATGCAGTTTTGTATTAATTACTAAATATCTGCTTTTTAGAGCATATTAAGTTTAGGAAAATGGAAACATGATTTTAAGATGTTGATAACTTAGAAAGATTGTGAAAAATTGCGATAAGTACACATTTGTTTATTATGTTTTATAAACTGTATTTATCTGACCATTTTAATTAGAACACTTCTGTTTTGTTCTTTTTATACAACTTCATATGTAACGATTCATTTTTACCATTTCTGTAACATGTAGCGTCCATCTGGACAACAACTGAAGTCCTTGTAGTGCCAGGTCATATAAACTCTTGTTCTCAGCATCCGTTCTAACTGACTCACGACATGTTGTAGTCGCCTGAAATTTTTACATTCCTATTGTTACTTTTCAAAATATTATCAATATAATGAACTCTTCAGGAAGAACTGTATTATGAACGTTTAAATTAGAAAAAATACATGCCCATAATATGGCTTCCTCACGTACGATTGTTATCATCGAAAATTTGCTTTTTCTAGAACAATTAAAGAATATTTAAGGGTTAGCTTTTGTATGACATTACCATTAGTACACTTTGTGCACTCGATGGTACTGATGCAGCATGACTTCATATTCTGTAAGATATATAAAAATATATTTGGACAGTTCTATTGCGGTATGGTTAATTTCATGTACAATGTATATTTTATGATGCTTGAATGTTGAATGTTTATTATGTTTTAAGAAAAGTGTATCTCTTTCTATCTAAGATTTGCCTGAGCATAGAGTATTAAAGGGATATATATGATGTAAAAGAAGACGTCTACCTCATTAGAATGTATGGAAAGCTTTGATATATATGACATGTGGTCTGCACGTATCTTCTCTATGTTATGGAGGATATCAGACTGGGGACTGGCAACATTTGACTCACATATCGGCCATTTAGAAGGGTCAAATGTCTCACTTCTTTTGATATACTCGTAAGGACACACTTGCATGTCACCATAAAGTGGCACGATCTCTAGTTGCTGTGAAACAGTAAAATATGTATAACAAGTTAGTAAAGAGTAAACGTCACGTAATGATATAACTGAACACAATTTAGCATGCAACAAATATCGATCACAAGAATACAATAACATACAAAGCTTTATTCTTGCAAATACACTTACACGAATTAAACTTTGAATACTTTGAAAATAAAATTATCATATAATTAATTATTTCTATTCATCAATATATTATAAATATACCACTTTCAGAACACAATTATATCTAAATACATGTACAATGACCATTTAATACAATGAAATTGTTAATAACAGTTATAAGTACTTTTAGAATTTTGTCGATCTTAGAAATGTTAATTTTCTTCTTCTGGTCCATTTTGTATATGCTGTTGTCAGCGTTGTCCATTGTGAATAAACCGAATGCGATTACCTAAAATATAATATGAAATGTCACAAGCTGTGTACAGTAGACGATTTCTTCAAGACTTACCAAACATTTTTTGTCGAGTGTCTTAAAAAGACTCTTTTAACTAAAATCCATGTTTTTTTATAAAACAAGTTTACATGGACAATATAAATAAAACAATAAACAAACTGATAAGACAGTACCACGTAGAATATAGTTTGGGAAGAATTAACAGTTTAAAGAATGTTGCGAATAAAGACATTGAACTTAAATTTACACTGTTATGAAATGCACAAACCTTCACAAACATAAACTTTTCATGGGGATCAATGTACATTTTGCTTTCGTACATGTGTACACATATATTGATGATGTCAGCAAAAAGGTCCTCATATCCTGGTATAGTGTGAAGTGTAGTTTTCAGTGTATCTCGGATTATATTCTGTGTGGCTAGAAACATGGACAAGTTGTTCGATTCTTGGATGGCCGCCTGATCACACAAAGAGTTGAGAATCTGACTGGTCCTGAAACAGAATATGAGGAATGATAAGTGACCACAACTACATATAATATTAAAAGCTATCGAATGCATTGTTCAAAAGGGGGTACTAATAAAAATAATATATGTTTGCTTTGCACAGAGAATTTTTTTTTTTAAATTATTTATCATTTTAGATGGAAGTAAACTGATAACATGTGATAACATGTGATGCCTTGTGTTGAAATTATACACTATTACACCTGATGAGTACGCCAATCTAGATAAATACTGACATTGTCATTTTATTGTGTTTATCTTCACTGGCAGGACAAATTTGTCGGAAGCATCAATACAATAAAATCTTCGGAAATATTCTGTACGACGATCTAATATATAAGTCTATCAGACTCGTTATAGGCCTAATAATAACTAGTTAAAACTGCAGAAATGATTCGCATGGAGTAATGGTCCGCATTGCAGAGTTAAAAGGGGTGATTGAATATGAATTTAATAACAAAATATATAGGTCTAAAAAGCTTACACAAGACTGTTTTGATAGGTAATGGAATAAGAAGTAAAACATAATACTATAATATCTAAAATTTTAGTATTGGGTTATTGTAATTCAGCGAATATGATGTCCATCCATATAACGTTGCATTTAAATGAGTTTGTTACATTATATGTTAAACAGTAGTGTTTGCGATACATTTGGTTTTATATTCGAAACAGCGAGGAGAAAATTGCTTCCATAGTTGAATTTGAGAGGGTAGCGTTATAGTTTTCTTACCTACTCAAAAAGTTGTGAAAATGTTTGTCTTAAATGTGTATTATTCATCTTAGTATAAAATACAAAACAGTACTTTACATAGGAAAAAGGGTAAAAAGCGTTCGTCAAACGGGTTGACTGCATATTGAACTTGGTGAAGTTGAAATCATGAATACACAAAGTTGAATTCGTGAACTTATGAAGTTGAAATCGTGAGTTCGTGAAGTTGAAATCATGAATTAATGAAGCTGAAATCGTAAATTCATGAATTCCGTTGTTAAAAACGTGAATTCACGAAGTTAAAATTGTGAATTCACGAAAATGAAATTTGGAATTCATGAAGTTGAAATGTCCCCACCGGTCTTTCATAGAAAACCTACCTTCTGAACAATGCGTAATCATTCCTTATACTTGATTTCATATTTTTCAGTTCATCAAGTTCGGCAAACATGTTGATGAATTTGCCAAGTGTGACGAGGTAAGCCTCGGATACAAAGTCGTTTTTCTTCTCCTTGTGACATAATCTCTTTACCTCACCACAAAAACGTTCAATAGCTGTTTTCTAAATGTCAATATAATTGATTGAAAAATGAAGTTATATATGTATATTTCGTTACTCGTTGTGAATTAATTAAAAAATTTAATTGGCCTCAAAAAACACAAATAAACAACATGTATACCTTCAAAAAATAAATTATTTGAATTAAAAACAAAAATTTCAAAGTTTGAAGATGCAGCATCTGTACGAAGTGAAATTGTATGTTTTACAGCTATATATTAACCTATGAATACGTATACAATAAATATAAAATATAATAGGAATTTTAACACGTTACTGTTATTGTATTCTCACCTTAAAATACATGAAGTCTTTCAGTTTAGATACCCGTGGAGCAAGTACGTCTACTATATGTTGATAAATTTCTGTTCTATTTTGCTGATTATCACTCTTTACCTGAAAATATTTACCCTAGTTTACCATAGTAGGATTTGGCTGATGCTTATTGTGAAATTACTGCTTTCATTTATAACATGCATTGCTTTGTTCTTAAATGAAAAAAGACAAGGAATCGACCAATACGAAACAGATATCCATTAAATGAAATTAAGAGAGTGTATAATTTAAAGGTATGTCATTATACGTACATGTATACGTTTATATCTATCTTTGTCATATATGTTTTAGTAAATATGACTAAAGACATTTTGCATGTCCATAGCCAATAAATTTTGAAAGCTTTGAATCATGACACGTGTTGGTAACCATTGTTGAGTAACGTTGCTGATGCCACAAAATGTCGTGAAACTATAATGTTCGTGAAGTTAGCCAGACAGCCGGAACAGCCGAAGCAGCAGGAACTCATTTTCGTATAACAAAATATATTTGAGCTATTCTTCTTAAATAATGTGACAATTTATAACGTTTAATCGTTAGAACGTTAAAAATATTTTAGTTTTAAAGCGAAGTTCTAGTTATACCAAACATGATTTTAATTACCTGCGGGAAGGCACGTGAACAACACCTCCCAGGTATACATAGTCACTGCATAAACTTTTCCTTCATCCAACAACTTGTTCTAACAATATGAAAACAATAAGGTTTTAAGTAATAGAAAAGAGCACCGAAACTCGATGAGGCTATCTGATTTGTACGAGGGGGCGTAGCCCCCGAGTATAAATCAGATTGCCGAGTGTTTTGGTGTTCTTTCTCTTTTGTATCATAGTCAAACATGACAGCACGTTCCCTGTTGTCATAATATGAAACCCCAGAAAAAATTAACCAATGAACGGGCATTTGAATATGATATTTCTGCCCCTTTCTCTTTCTCTGCCGTCACAATAAGTAAACCCCAGCAAAAATGAACCAATCAATGGGCATGCTCAGAACACTCTTTATTATGCATTCATTGGAAAATAATAGGAATTTTAACACGTTACTGTTAAATTGTATTCTCACCTTAAAATACATGAAGTCTTTCAGTTTAGATACCCGTGGAGCAAGTACGTCTACTATATGTTGATAAATTTCAGTTCTATTTTGCTGATTATCACTCTTTACCTGAAAATATATTTACCCTAGTTTACCATAGTAGGATTTGGCTGATGCTTATTGTGAAATTACTGCTTTCATTTATAACATGCATTGCTTTGTTCTTAAATGAAAAAGACAAGGAATCGACCAATACGAAACAGATATCCATTAAATGAAATTAAGAGAGTGTATAATTTAAAGATATGTCATTATACGTACATGTATACGTTTATATCTATCTTTGTCATATATGTTTTAGTAAATATGACTAAAGACATTTTGCATGTCCATAGCCAATAAATTTTGAAAGCTTTGAATCATGACACGTGTTGGTAACCATTGTTGAGTAACGTTGCTGATGCCACAAAATGTCGTGAAACTATAATGTTCGTGAAGTTAGCCAGACAGCCGGAACAGCCGAAGCAGCAGGAACTCATTTTCGTATAACAAAATATATTTGAGCTATTCTTCTTAAATAATGTGACAATTTATAACGTTTAATCGTTAGAACGTTAAAATATTTTAGTTAAAGCGAAGTTCTAGTTATACCAAACATGATTTTAATTACCTGCGGGAAGGCACGTGAACAACACCTCCAGGTATACATAGTCACTGCATAAACTTTTCCTTCATCCAACAACTTGTTCTAACAATATGAAACAATAAGGTTTAAGTAATAGAAAGAGCACCGAAACTCGATGAGGCTATCTGATTTGTACGAGGGGGCGTAGCCCCCGAGTATAAATCAGATTGCCGAGTGTTTTGGTGTTCTTTCTCTTTTGTATCATAGTCAAACATGACAGCACGTTCCCTGTTGTCATAATATAAAACCCCAGAAAAAATTAACCAATGAACGGGCATTTGAACATGATATTTCTGCCCCTTTCTCTTTCTCTGCCGTCACAATAAGTAAACCCCAGCAAAAATGAACCAATCAACGGGCATTATCTGGAGTGCGGGTAACTGATACCTGCACTCCAGTTACCGCACTGTGCATGTATATGTATACGATTTAACTCAACAGAAAGGTCCCCAAACTATGATACAAAATATAGTTAAACCTTATTCAAATGCCCGTTCATTGGTTAATTTTTTCTGGGGTTTCATATTATGACAACAGGGAACGTGCTGTCATGTTTGACTATGCAACAAAAGAGAAAGAACACCAAAACACTCGGCAATCTGATTTATACTCGGGGGCTACACCCCCTCGTACAAATCAGATAGCCTCATCGAGTTTCGGTGCTCTTTCTATTACATATATAATTATAGGAATATGTTTAACCATTGACGTTTGTTTCAGACAATGACATTGGCGCCGACGTCTGCTTCAAACAGTCAAGCTAGAGCGAAATGTTTTGGCGAATAATTAATGTACAGTGTTTAATGAATGCAAAAAAGGAAGTTATTTTGAACATATTTTCACACAGTGAATTGGTAGATTTAAACATGATAGCTATCTTAATTTTGACATGTGAATTCGGAAAATGAGGTGTCTTAAAAAAAAACAGTGTAAAGTTCGTGAAGTGAAAATCTGATGTCCTTCAATGTTATTTTAATTATTTCTTAACAAAATCTTAATGTGGTAACTCGCCAACACTGTATATATTTAGAAAACATCACTTACAAGATCAGCATGTACTGTAGCCTCCTCCACATATTTTGCTACCCCGGAAAGAAAAGCTGCTCGATCTTCAAAGTTGGTATCAAAGTTCGTCTGATAGTGTATAGGGATGGCCACGGCCTCTATACATGGTTGTTGGTCGGGGAGTGGTATACTTGTAAGTACCTCTATTCCTTTTAATGCCTCGCCTAAAGTGTACTTTTCCTCTGTCTCCATCATAAGCGATTCAATATATTCTTTTCTGAAATATAGTTGATGCTGGTGACATACCGGTATCTGGTTTGTAGATAATTTATCCAATTTTTGCGTTATGTTCAAAAGATTTTCTCTTCAATCAAATTTACATCAAAGATGCTTGAAAAACAGTCACAAAATATGTTACAAAGTTTATACACCGTAACAATAACTGTCGGATCATACTCCAAAATAACCGAAGATTGCAATCATTTCAGCTTATATATTTCTGTTATTGTTAAAAAATATAAAATTAAAGTTCCTGTGAATTGTTTTAGTCTCGTCGGCGTTTTGTACTTATAAAGTAGCTATGCATGGCCTTATTTTAATTTCTCAAATGTATATTCGTATTTTGAATATTTCATAAACATTTCACTGCCCGTGAAAAAAGTAGGTTTGTATTTTATCGCATTTTGATCACTTCAGATACAGCATTAAATTACTCGATATTAACTTCCTTGTTAGTGGGGAAAATATCTCTAACTACCTCTAATGTACTTATACTTGTTTATAAAACGATTTATTCAATGTTATCAAATGCTAAGTTATCAGTTGATATATTTTATTATTGTAAAACAGATCAATAAATCTTCAACAAGGTTTACATGATTTATATCATATTTACTGTTGGAGAGAGTTAAAAGAGTATTCTATACCTACAATCGTTCTATACATTTGTATGGTAACATTTAGAATGATCTTACATCGATCTGATATATTTACATTCTAAATAATATAGTGTACATGTTAACTTCATGAAATTCATCGACTCGAACCTATAGTGACCCCTGGGTCGAGAGGCAGACACCTTTACCACTAGGCCACAAGTAATCGAGTCTTAACATCTAAAAATGGGACATACGAATGTCTAGTGAAGATCAACCTTAATTTCCTTGCGTTTTTACAATAGAGATATCAGAATGTGCGTACACGTAAAACTCATCTAAGATGATACAACTTCTTATTCCCATCCGTCGAATTTCAAATTTAGTAACGATGTTAGAATTTCTAGCATTGAATAAACAAACTGTCTGAATTGTCTTATTGCTAAGTTTCCATCTGAATTATACCTTCACCATATGAAGTGCAATCCTTAAGTCTTCAAAGGGTGTAAAGTTTTAGTAATGAGTTTCTGCAATAAAAATGCAAATTTTAGCAAATACAAGGAAAATATTGATAAAAATAAAATTTATTACAAACCTTCAACTTACATCCAGGCTGTCCTATAAGTTCTCTTTTTTTTAGATTACATATTTCATACACAAACTTCCTTGTTATTATCATAAAAGCCCATTTTCCATCTGAAATTTAAAAAGCTTTTTATTCACGCTCCGTGGGTTTTAAAGGATTTTTACAAAGAAGGACATATCCTTTTCTTCCTCACATCTATTTGAAAACAAACACAGCATTTATTTGAAAATAATAAACTTAGCTTATTTTGATAACGTATACTAATAGATCTATATATAACTTTTTTGATATCTTTTAATAAAAAAAATTTAACACTGATAGCTGGAAAAATGCCTTATTCGATTCTAAACATTACAAAGCTTAGTACAGATAAAAATGGTTTAAAACTTAAGCCAGTCAATGACATTTTGTACAGTATTATCTTTACCGGTAATTATTTTATTTTTATCATAAATGTTGCCAAATATTCAATAACCTTGATTACAATATTCAACATGCTGCTGTAAAAATTCTGATACGGGTCTTTTTTTCTTTTATGGTAGCCTTTTGGTTGACATTAAAGATTAAATACAAATATAATATAGACCTCAAACTTACTTTTTCAGATAAGACATGAACATCATATATAGTAGCAATATTGCGTCTCTTCATCCGCGAGGTAAAGTTTTCTTTAAAAAATGATACAGGTCATTTAATACTGTATCCTAGACTCGACCGTCCAGCAATGTTCTGTTGTTTTTTTGTTGCTTTTTTTCCCCGTTTTTGTGAAATATGTGGCATCACATCAAACTAAACTTATTGATGACATCACACATAATAAATCGGTAAAAAAACTAAGAAAATTGATCAAGGTGAATGGGAATATCTTACAGGAAATTTAAGCATATTATTTTAATCGAAATGCCCAAAAGACTTCTGTATGACATACACAGACATTAAATGCCTGATGTCCTAGTCCTGTTGAATCTGATACACAGGCACACACCAAATGCCCTAAACCCTGCAACATCTCATACACAGATATTATATGCCCATATATGTTACATCTAATGCACAACAACACATGAGATGTCCTAAACACTGCTGCATCTAGTGCACAAACATCAGATCCCGAAAGCAATGTTGTTTTTTTTTACACAAGCACACACAAGATGCCAAACACTCTGTTGCATCTAATTCCAAGCACATATTAGAAGTTCCAACCCTGCTGCATCTCATATACAGGCACACATTAGATGTCCAAAACCCTACTGCATCTCATATACACAGGCACATATTAGATGCTCTAAACACTGCTACATCTAATAAACAAGCACACATAAGATGCCCAAAACCTTGCTGTATCTCATATACAAGCACACATTAGATGCCCAAACCCTGCTACATCTCATACACAGGCACATATTAGATGCCAAAACCCTGCTACATCTCATATACAGACACACATTAGATGCCCAAACCCTGCTGCATCTCATAAACAAGTACAAATTAGATGCCCAAACCCTACTTCATCTCATAAACAGGCGCACATAAGATGCCCTAAACCCTGCTAAATATCATGATCAGGCACACATTAGATGATCAAACCCTGCTGCATCTCATATACAGGCACACATTAGATGCCCAAACCCTGCTGCATCTCATAAACTAGTACAAATTAGATGCCCTAAACCCTGCTGTAGCTCATATTCCAACGCACATTAGATGCCCAAACCCTGCTGCAAATCATGCTCAGGAACACATAAGATGCCCAAACAGTGCTTCATCTCATACACAGGCACACATAAGATGCCCTAAACCTTGCTGTATCTCATATACAAGCACACATTATATGTCCAAACCCTGCTGCATATCAAACACAGGCACACATTAGATGCCCTAAACCCTGCTGCATATCGTATACAAGCACACATTAGATGCCCAAATCCTGCTGCATCTAATACACAGGCACACATTAAGTGTCATAAACCCTGCTGCATCTCATATACAAGCACACATTAGATATCCAAATCCTGGTGCATCTCATACACAGGCATATATTAGATGCCCAAAACCCTGCTGCATCCCAAAAACAGACAAACATTAGATGTCCATCTCATACACAGGCACACATTCGATGTCCTTAACCCTGCTGCATCTTATATACAAGCACACATTAGATGTCCAAATCCTGGTGCATCTCATACACAAGCACACATTAGATGCCCTAAACCCTGCTGCATCTCATATACAGGCACATATTAGATGCCCAAACCCTGCTGCATCTCATACACAGGCACACATTAGATGCCCTAAACCCTGCTGTATCTCATATACAAGCACACATTAGATGCCCAAACCCTGCTACATATCATACACAGGCACACATTAGATGCCCTAAACCCTGCTGCATCTCGTATACAGGCACACATTAGATGCCCAAAACCTTGCTGTATCTCATATACAAGCACACATTAGATGCCCTAAACCCTGCTACATCTCATACACAGGCACACATTAGATGCCCAAACCCTGCTACATCTCATACACAGGCACACATTAGATGTCCTAAACCCTGCTGCATCTCATACACAGGCACACATTAGATGCCCTAAACCCTGCTGCATCTCATACACAGGCACACATTAGATGCCTAAACCCTGCTGCATCTCATACACAGGCACACATAAGATGCCCTAAACCCTGATGCATCTCATTCACAGGCACACATTTGATGTCAAAAACCCTGCTGCATCACATACCATATAAGATGCCCTAAACCCTGATGTATCTCATACACAGGCACACATAAGATGCCCTAAACCCTGATGCCTCTCATACACAGGCACACATTAGATGCCCAAACCCTGCTACATCTCATACACAGGCACACATAAGTTGCCCTAACCCTGCTGCATCTATACACAGGCACACATAAGATGCCCTAAACCCTGCTGCATTTTATACACAGGCACACATTTAGATGCCAAAAAACCCTGCTGCATCTCATACACAGGCACACATTAGATGCCCAAACCCCGCTACATCTCATACACAGGTACACATTCGATGCCCAAAACCCTGCTGCATCTCATACACATGCACACATTAGATGCCCAAAACCTTGTTGCATCTCATACACAGGCACACATAAGATGCCCTAAAACCCTGATGCATCTCATACACAGGCACACATAAGATGCCCTAAACCCTGATGCATCTCATACACAGGCACACATTTGATGTCAGAAACCCTGCTGCATCACATACACAGGCACCACATAAGATGCCCTAAACCCTGATGCATCTCATACACAGGCACACATAAGATGCCCTAAACCCTGATGCATCTCATACACAGGCACACATAAGATGCCCTAAACCCTGCTGCATCTCATACACAGGCACACATTAGATGCCCCAAACCCTGCTACATCTCATACACAGGCACACATTAGATGCCCTAAACCCTGCTACATCTCATACACAGGCACACATTAGATGCCCTAAACCCTGCTGCATCTCATATACAGGCACACATTAGATGCCCAAACCCTGCTACATCTCATACACAGGCACACATTAGATGCCCAAACCCTGCTACATCTCATACACAGGCACACATTAGATGCCCAAACCCTGCTGCATCTCATACACAGGCACACATAAGATGCCCTAAACCCTGATGCATCTATACACAGGCACACATAAGATGCCAAAAACCCTACTGCATCTCATACACAGGCACATATTTGATGTCAGAAACCCTGCTGCATCACATACACAGGCACACATAAGATGCCCTAAACCCTGATGCATCTCATACACAGGCACACATAAGATGCCCTAAACCCTGATGCATCTCATACACAGGCACACATAAGATGCCCAAACCCTGATGCATCTCATACACAGGCACACATTTGATGTCAGAAACCCTGCTGCATCTCATACACTGACATCAGGATGTAGCACCTCATACACAGGTTCATGAATTACTCATATTCTTAGGGAGGGGGCTGGTCCGTGCAATAAAATACAACAAAAATACATTAATATAGAATATTTATTATTCATATCATAAGATAAAGGAAATATTGGTTCTTATTTATTACAATTGTCTATAAAATTTTAATATTCACAAAGCTATTTTAAATGGGTCATAAGACAAATTTTCTTAGAAATTCACTTTCAAATAAAAAAAGACTTCTAAAAACAAACAACATTAAAACAACACAGTGCCTATATCAGAGCCTCTGTTCATCAACATATCAAGACTAAAATTTAATTACATTTTACAATGCTATATTTGATCTCACTTTAAATTAATCTATGTGAAATTTTTCCCAACCAGCGAGCTGTAAATACTTGCCAAGTTTAATTACAATTTGTGAATATAACATAAATGAACTTTAAAACTTTATGTCCAGTATTTTATGGTTTCAGACTTCAAATGTTGATGATTTTTTTACGTTGGACACATCCAGCAAGCACAGCAAACTTACAGTCAACTCAAGCATGTCTACTCTATATGTTAGTGTATAAAAAAAGTAAATATACACATTGGGTAAATGCTGATTTTGGAAGACAATTAGTGAACTTGTGTTACCATTAAGTTTGTCATGACACAAAATACTGTTAACTTGCATGTAGATTATTAATATAAAAAACTTGGCTTGCTATAATTATATATTTTGATTTAACAAAGCTACAAAACATGCTTAAATAACATATTCAGGTCAATTATATAAAATTTGCATGCAAATGCTAATCACTGTTAATATTTAGTTAAACAAGAGCGCAAGATATTATATGTGTGAGCTATTTTGTAAATATAGAGGATTTCTTCAAATTATAAATTGGGTAAATTGGGAAAGTCATTAACTTGAGTACAACGTTTTATTTAAAAGGTTGGCTCAGATCATTAGACTATTGTAAAACATTCATTTCATATCTACATATACCAGCATATACAACACACAAAAAAACAGTACAAAAATATTGCACAAATATAAAAAACAAGAGGGCCATGATGGCCCTGAGGTCGCTCACCTGTATATAGGCCGCCCCAACCCCCAGGGCTTTTATTTGCACAAACTTGGTAGACACCCATAAGAAAATGTTTCATGCTAAACATCTAAGCTCTAGCTCATTGGGCTATTTAAAAGAAGATTTTTTTAAAGTTTTTACTATACACATATAGTTAAAAACAATGACACGCCTGGGGCCGGGCCAGTTATGACCCCAGGGTTTTTATTTGAACAAACTTTGTAGACACTTACTAGAATATGTTTCATGCTTAATATCTAAACTCTAGCTATTTGGGTTTTTTCAAAGAAGATTTTAAGTTTTTGCTATACACATATAAGGAAAATCAATGACCCCGGGGCAGGGCCAATTTTGACCCCAGGTCTTTTATTTGAACAAACTTTGTAGACACTCACTAAAAGATGTTTCATGCTTAATATCTTAACTCTAGCTATTTGGGTTTTTTTCAAAAAAGATTTTTTAAGTTTTTGCTATACACATATAAGGAAAATCAATGACCCCCGGGGCGGGGCCAATTTTGACCCCAGGGCTTTTATTTGAACAAACTTGGTAGACACCTATTAGAACATGTTTTGATGCTAAATATCTTAACCATAGCTCTTTGATTTCTTTAAAAGAAGATTTTTAAGTTTTTACTATATGCATATATAGGGAAAAATCAATGACCCCCCCCCGGGCGGGGTCAATTTTGACCCCAGGGCTTTTATTTGAACAAACTTGGTAGACACTTATTAGAACATGTTTCATGCTAAATATCTTAGCTCTAACTCTTTTGGTTCTTTAAAAGAAGATTTTTTAAGTTTTTACTATATGCATATAGGGAAAATCAATGACCCCCTGGGGCGGGCCAATTTTGACCCCAGGGCTTTTCTTTGAACAAACTTGATAGACACCTATTAGAACATGTTTGATGCTCAATATCTTAGCCATAGCTCTTTGAGTTCTTTAAAAGAAGATTTTTTAAGTTTTCACTATATGCATATAGGGAAAATCAATGACCCCCCCAGGCGGGGCCAATTTTGACCCCAGGGCTTTTATTTGAACAAACTTGGTAGACACTCACTAGAAGATGTTTCATGCCAAATATCTAAGCTCTAGCTCTTATGGTTTTTTAAAAGAAGATATTTAAAGTTTTTTCTTTCGGTTGCCATGGCAACCAGAGTTCTGCATGGAATTAAATTCTTTGAACAATTTTTAAAGGTGACCACCAAAGGAACATTCCTGTGAAGTTTGGATGAAATTGGCCTTGTGGTTTATGAGGAGATGTCATTTAAAGTAAAAGTTTACGGACGACGGACGACGGACGGACGCCGGACGCCAGACGAAAAGCGATCACAAAAGCTCACCCTGTCACTTTGTGACAGGTGAGCTAAAAATTGATACAAAATACAGATCACTTTTGAAATTATATCTACAAAAAAGTGAATTACACCAGCAAATGCCATTACTGGACAAATTTTATCTCGGCAACACATGTACTGCCATGCCACTGTCAGCAAGACATGTACTGCCATGCCACTGTCAGCCAGCTGATAAGAAAGTCTTAAATTGTATTTATTTACAGTGTATAGTAAGTATTATACCACACATTCTGAAGAAGTATCTTGTAGTTAGCCCTTTATACTACCAGCAGTATTTAAGATACGACGTAAGTCACCTGTACAGAACCAGACATGCCTAAATATTTTAGGTAGTAACAAAGAATTGTTGGTTTGCAGTTGCGCGACCGATTCAAGGAAACTGGCCGGACTCAAAAATTTTTTTTGACTCACCAAGCATGCATATTTTTTTTTATCAAAATATAATATGCTTGTTTGAATCAACACTAAAATATAAGAAAATTAAAAAAATCCTGGCCTACCGACTCACTGTTAAAAAAGGTGGGTCGCGCAATTGCAAACCAAATTTTTTAGTGATGGCCCCAGCAATCAGACAAGACACTATACTATTCAAGTATTATTTTCTGTTTTCTAACATTCTAATCCCCTAATTACACCATGGACAAATCCATGATCATGGCAAGTCTATCATATAAAATTACAAGGTTAAAGGTTTTATTGGTTCTGTATCCTGACTATACACTTTATACACTGCTAAATGTATGGTATGTAAGTTTGTACATCTATGTTGTTTTATTCCATATCAACTTTACAAAGTGATCATAATATATACCAATAATCAATAATCAGACATACATAGTTCCTGTTTAAATATATAAACTAGAGTTACTTACTTCCATTCAACTGGTTATTCATCATTAATTAAAACATCTTATTCAGTAACAAATACTAGTGATTGACAGTTTTTTGTAATGCTCTAAAATTTATTTTTTTATCTAATCATTTCACATTAACTTTAATTCATATTTTTATAAAGCTTTTTATATACAACACATGATAAACACCACAAATCTAAATCTATCTCACAAATAAACAAGTTTTATTACATGTTTCATAAACAAGCTTTTATTACATGATTCTTAAACAAGCTTTTATTACATGATTCAGCAGAATTTTTGACAGCAAGGTCTTATACCTTCCATAACATACCCAATTAAAAGTGAGAATTTCTCTTAACAAATCAATCTTTAATAATATTTGCATGAAAGTATACAATTTCAAGCTCATCAGTTTTCAATTACTGCACCAGTAATTAGATAATGATCTTAATAAGCAGCAAGCACTATCCTTCCAAAACATTTGATCTATACATTGTAAATGATTAAATTACATGTATGTAATTAAGTGCCGACATACATATAAAAATCTAATGTGCCTGTTCTATTTTCCTTCAATGATGGTTTCTCTGCCCTATACATCAAACATTTCAACATTTCTAGCTACAATCTCTGTCAATGGACTAGTACAGTCAATATAAGGAAGCTTGTATACCAACGTAGATATACAATCTATATAGTTGTGGCAAGTGAATGATGTATGGGAGGCTGGAAACAGCGTACATGTTCTACAGGTAGACCATCTCGGTCCTCTGACCTCAGGTACTTGTTCAGTACAGCAAATACCTGGTTGTTCAAAATCTGAAACTTTCTTATCCTGTCAACCATCTTCTTCAGTTGCTGAAAAAAAAAATAAACAAAATGCATAAAAATTATGTTTAAAATCTTTCACCAAATGTTTCATATACTTTTTCATTGGCTTTTGTAACTGTACTTAAACAGATAAATAACAGGTATTGAAGATTGTCTTATGTTTCAATAAATACAAAAATATTGTAACAATGACACTTAAAACACTCCGCTTAAAAAGCACTTTACAAGTGATAAACTATATTCTATAAATCCTCTACAGAGGATTATGAAAGTTACATAAATACATTATAAAATCCCATGTACATGAATAAGAAGCTAATCTGCTGTGAAATAGTTAGTCATATATATTATGATAAATAACTTACAATGCCCTTCACATTCTCATCCTTCATGTCCACCCTGTTTACTTTCAGGACATGGTAGCAGAAATCCAAGGCCTCAAACCTTCTCTGTTGTCCTAGTAACACAATGATAGCACAGCCAGCCCAGTTCAAACCCTCACCAAATAACTCTCTATATAACATATAAACATAACTTTTACACAGGTATCTTACTTCAACCATCAGCAATATAAAAAGTAATTTAGTGGATTGAATCAGTGTAGGTTCAATACTGAATTCATTAAATGAGTTGAATAAAGTTATATTACACTAGTATCATTGATATATGACAAGATTTAGTCAGTATGCCTTTAAAAGGATACTTAACATACATGTATAAAGTGTTCAAATTTTATAAAGTAAAGTAGCTTCATCACCAAAATTCTGCTTTAAATCATTATTCTTCAATATCAAGAATTAAGATATATACCAAGCAAATCTACATGCCATAAAAAACGGGAAACATGTTTTGAAATATATAATGTTAAATGACACTTACTCAACAGTGTACTCATGTTCTCCTACAGGTACACAGAACACAAACTGTATAGCACTCCATAGTCTGTGGAACTCCGTACACTCATCTACATTCATTACACCATTAGCAGGGGCCGGACCATGCCAGACTGGATCATCTAGGAATGACTGAATACGCTTCAAGATGATTTCAAACATAGACAACCCACAACAAAGTCTTTCCCTTGTCAACAGATCACCTTCCTGAGCTATGTCAGATTGCTGAAATATATACAAGATACTGCTGTTATAGATATACCCTAATGTTATAAATCTTGTAAGAATTTCTCAATGTATTTCATTTTGTACTTTTGATTGTAACTTTCAATATTGAACAACTTGCAATCCAATATCATTATAAAGCTATAAGTAAGTAAGCAAGCAAGTAAGTAAGTAATTTATTATAGTGACATGTGTAAACATATTTTACAAATCAAATTATACAACATATTAAATACACCTGGGCCGATGGCTTCATAAACATAAAATATTTATATAGAGTCATAAGTGTTTATATAAACCAACTCATTTGTAAAAATCGTAGCCATAACATAATAGAAGTATTGTATTTAATCTTTATTTAATTAATAGGTCATAAGATATGTGATTTATTCTTTAAATTTATCTGTAAATGTTTTGATGTCAAAATGATTTGACAAATTATTTAGCTAGAGTATTAGATTTGTTATTTATCAAATAAACTAATTATTCTTAATCAGTCTTTGAGTCTTATATTCCATGAATGTTGTCTTATATTACCACATACCTTCTGATTACCAAACTTTCCTATTACAGGTAATATTATATTTGATTACCAAACTTTCCTATAACAGGTAATATTATATTACCACATACCTTCTGATTACCAAACTTTCCTATAACAGGTACAACTTGTAAGGCTTGGTATTTAGCTTCCAGTCTTTTCATCATAGCCTTCAATTCTTGTTCTTTTTCTTTTCTGCTCTCACCCTCTGTTACAAATGATACAAAATACAATCAATATTTAAGACAACATCTTTATTCAAAAGATATTCATTTGTTTCTATTCAACAAGTATATAAAATAATTTTTATAAGCAATATACTCATAGCCAAATATAAATACATACACAAATGTTTTTTAAATATAGTAAATACACTAAGTCATAGTAAAATAAATTTGATGATTGTTGCTGTCTTCAAAGTTATTATACTATGATACCCATATAAATGAAATTATTAATTGACTTTTGTACTAATTTACCTTTGACAGGTATGTATGGTTTATGAATCGTATTACCTACCTTTAATAGATATAAAATGATCAATTTACTGAGTTACCTACCTTTGAAAGGTATACATAGTTTATGTATTGAGTAACCTACCTTTGACAGATATAAATGGCTTATGTATTGTATTACCTACCTTTAATACATATAAATGGTTAATGCAATGAATTATCTACCTTTGACAGGTATATATAGTTTATGTATTGAGTTACCTACCTTTGACAGGTATACATGGTTTATGTACTGAGTTACCTACCTTTGACAGGTATAAATGGTTTAGGTATGATGTTTTGGAAAGGTGCTGCATGTTTTAAATCACACACTTCTTCCTGTGTCTGAAAAAATATGAAAATAGTTTGTACTAAATTATAACAGCTTATCTTAATATAGAATATGTAAAAACTCTTTTTATGCACTTTTAAATACCTGTCATGTATATCTTCAACTACAGATAAAACAATATACATTTAGATAGATTAAGTAGCAAACATTATTGTTAAGAGATTTATATAATTTAAAAAAAAACAACAAATAAAGTGTAATTACCAATGCCTGTTCGATGAGGAGACAAAACAAAATGGCATTGCCTACTTCCCGGAAGATTTGGAATACCTCTGTCCTCATGTCTGGGTACTGTATTAACTCAGATAGCTGGGCCTGGTAGTAACCCATTACACCTAAAAACATATAAATGTTTTATGTTCTATCTTGAATATTAATGCAATTATTTAATTCTAAATAACTATGTATATATCACAGGAAATTTCTTTACGGCTTCAATTGTAAATGAAGCTGCATTCTATGAATGTTATATCCCCTTGTTTATCTTTACTTCCAAATTTTTACATAAAATAAAAGAATAGTTTCTTTACATAATAAAGATGTATGTATTATTTCAACATGTATGAATGGAAGTAATATTTTTATATCAAAGTCATCCAGCAATATGACACAGGTAGATAATATGATAGCTTGTTGTGATGTGTATTAACACACAATTAAATATTAATGTACATTCTAACATGACAAAAATTTTTCCCTATTGAACATAGAAGAATTGAAAGTGTGTGTTATTATGCAACAAAATCACTGATGACATTCTATATTTAGACATGTGACGTATCCACTCAAAATGCGACGCACTGAAAATAAGTACGTAAACAAATCAGGCGCAATTTAGCTTAATAATCAGGTACGGCAGCATTTATTTGTTGATGTTGTGTTAGAATCAAAATAATATAACCAAATCGGTGATTTTGTTGCTTGATAAAATAACTATTTGTCTTTCAGATGTGCATCATTATATCACTCGTGCTACGCCCTCGTGATATAATTCCTTGCATCCAACTCAAAACAGTGATTTTATTGAGCAATAAAATCACTGTTTGGGATATATAATTTCTTAAACAAAATATTAATGTATATACCTGGTGACCCATAATCATATCTCAGCAGACGACAATTCTGTGGCATGATTGTCATCAAAGTTTTTGTGTACTTCATCAATGGTCCCTTCAACTAGTAAAATATATACAAAAACAAAGTTAAGACTGATCAATCATCTTTACCTTCTTGTATAAATTGTGTAAGAATAACTAAAGAATGTTCTGTTATAACATGAAAACAATCCAGTCAGTAATAACAAAGTTATAGCCAGTAACGGCCAAAATAAATGGAAATTTCAATATTTTGACCTTCAAGGTCAGGGTCATTTATGAATGAAGATCAATGTCTGTCGGTTTATCCTAAAAGATTATTATGTTCAACTTTGAAGACAATCCATTAAAAAATAACAAAGTTAAAGTCACCATAAGCAAAAATCAGCAAAAATTAAGCAAGTTCAAGGTCATTTACAAAGGAAGGTCAAGGTTAGTCTGGTCTACTGAAAAGTCATGTCCCAAGGGTTGTTGTGACCCAGTATGAGGACAATACACGCAGAACTCAAAAATTAATAATCAAGGTACACGTTTGTGGACGGCAACGGCAACACCTAGGTGACTGTAACAATATCTTTATTTCTTTTTTCAAAAATCAGAATTGTTTTAAATTGATTGACAAAAAGAATCCCTAAAAACTTAACATCATGATTTGGTAATGATATCTGCAGAGTACACAAAGACTATTATGTTTGACAACAGTATATAAATACCTGATCTGATACAATCTTGAGAAGTTCTTCCACGACTACAGCAATACCCTGGTATCCTAGCAACCGACAGATCACGCGGAAATGTGGAGGCCCAACAAAACCTGCATACTGGCTATAGATAGCGCTGAACGAGGTGGTCAATGACTGAAATATTAACAACTGACTATAGATAGAGTTGACAAAGTGGTCAATTACTGAAATATGTAACAATTAGACATCACTGGTGGATGACTAACCTAATATTGTTAGGAAATGGTTGCCTAAATAAACTTCATACAGCTATGTTATGTGTTGTGCTTAATTTGGGACGACTTTTAAAAGATCGCGGAAATATGTTACAAATGATCCGTAACCTATAACATAAAGTCAATTTAAAAACAATATCTATTCAAATGTAAACTATAGACCTTACTTTATTCATGTCAACTATGAATGAACTTGTAACATCCAGAGAGTAGCTTATATTTGTGTATGTTTTCATACTGTCACGATGTCTGCAAATGTTTGTGTACAAAAATAGTGCCCAAACGCTAGTTATTATACGGAAAGATTTTTAAATAACAGAAAGATATTTTGACATATAATTTATTGCAAATACTGAATTAATGATTAGTTTACTTGCAAAAGTATTTTATGACTTTTAATTTGTGTTACGCAAGTTGGTTACGGAACTGTAGTTTTGAAGTGTATGAATTCCAGGCAAATAACGCACTCCGCAACCAATTCCAGGAAGGCTCGACCAATAGAATTCATAGACTGCTTTCTAGTTACGGTACGGAATTCATACGCGATAACAAGTCTTTAAATAGAGGCGAAAAACTTCATTTGGCGGTTCTGGTTCGAATAAGCGTAACCAATGTCAAGAAAACATTTGGTCCACTAGGAAAACTTTGTAAATTGTCCGTAACTAATTACCATCCCGTAACCAAGGTGAACTAAGTCATTTATATAGTTACTGTGTATCTTTGTGTGTGCAACTGTTACATTCTAGTTACGGCGTAACTTTTTCTCTTGATTTTACATTAATTGATTAAACATATAGGCCTACGTAACCGCGCATCCGTAACCATTCTTCTATGGTATCCTCTATATATTAAACGAAAAGGCACCATTTCCGCGAAAAGACAGTTAACATCACTTATATATTATTACTAAGAACAATAAAGAGAATCAAGTTTTGTTGTGTTCAAATATAATTTCTTATTACAGTTATTGTTTAATAAATATACAAATGTTTTAAATGCTGTTGTTATAAAATAATCAGTAAAAGGTATTACACCACTAAATTGGACATACCCAGATTGAGCTAAATTAAGCAGATAAATAACAACAGGGTGAAGTCTTTTCTTAATTCCATTATTAGTATAAATCTGCGTACAGGCCATTCAAGAATATACCTATTTAATCATAATACCGTGGACTACACACCACCCCGTCCTATACCGAGTATTACAATATTATGCTTCATTCTACTTTCAAGTTAAATTCTTACTTCAGCAATATTCTGATTATATGCAGAATTTGATTTTCAGACTCCTTTAAACAAAACTTTCATAATTTCAAAATATAAGATATTCTTACACAAGAAGTGTTTAAAGTAAAATACAATATTCCCCATAAAACTGATATTGCATGCATGTACCTTACAAAAGTTTTAAATAAACACTTGACTTAAAAGCTAAAGCATTTAGAATGATTTATCAAATTGAACATATCTAAAGGACTACAGTAAAGATTTCCAATTACAAGTATAGAATACTTCAACATTCTAGGCATGCTCTACCATAACAAGAAAATACATATTAGTGAATTTTGTATGTTTTTAGATAAAAGTTTAAAAAACCTACCTTTGTTCCCCAGATATAAGGATGGGAAGGATTTGGGGGTTTATCACGAGCACTTGGTTCACTCAATACCAACTTTGTCTTTACAAACCTGAAATACATCTTGTATTCTTAATTCACCAATAAATATGACTTTTGACTCAGTTATATTTGATTATGCATACATTTTGCTTTTAAGTTGTACATAATTCACGATTGTAACACTATCGGAATTTTTTCTATATAAACAAAAAAGGCCCGAAGCCTGCATTATTCTACAACAATGCACTCGCCGTTCTTATTATCTCCCTGAGTATTTTCACATTGACGGAGCCATTTTGTTTGAAAAATCTGATAAATTAAACAATTTTTTGTCGAATTTTGTTGTGAAAACTATCTAGAATGAAAGAAAATGATCTTACTAAGAAAATGAATCCGAACACCAATATCTTTAATTTAGTTGTTAAATTGTTGTTTACGTGACGTCACAATGTAGCGCCAAACAGCACGTGCAAAACAATCAAATCAAGTACGCTATTTTAATGTCGCAAACGAGTCAAGTTTTACATATATTTCACTTTTAATAATTTGTATTTTTCTTGGAAAATTATAAACTGAAATAAAATAAACAAACAAAGTTTTATCAATGTTTTCAAAATTCGTTATTCTCAAAATGTTTCTACACACGGTAGATTTAACGACAGTTTTTTTCAACCCACTGGAACGGCCTTTAAAGAACGTTTCTATTGGAAACTCTGAGGCGAAAACAAATTTAACCACCAAACATAAAGTCCAACTTTATAATAATAATTATATTTTTTCTTGACGTGTTAGAATGGAAATAGATATTAATTCTTCGTGCATTATTGTACAATAATGCACGTTTTTCGTTCAAATGCTTTGTAATTAATCACTCAGGCCTATCGGCCTTTGTGATTATATTACTACGCATTTGAACTCAAACCGTGCATTATTCTACAACAATGCACTCAGAATTGGTATCTATTTCCTAAACAAAATATCTTTTAAGCATGCCATATCAATATATTATTTTCTTGTAATTAATAATGAATAACTTTCTTTTTCAACCATCTTTCTTTATAACCATTGATAATTAATCCTCAACAAACTTTAGATATAAAACAAGAGTTGCCAGTATTGAGATTGTATCAGTATACCTATTAGTGGCAGCATTGTAGCAGAAGTTTGGCAGGAAATCATAGTTGAGTTCCCAGAACACATGTAAGGTGGTTCTTCCATATGGTGCTGACACATTATGATTAGCCTCACGTAACATAGCATCAAACTTGTTCAATGTCAGAAACTTCTTCAACAGTTTGTGTGTCAGCTTGTTACAATCTATCAGACCTTCTAATTCCTATAACAAAATAGAACTCACAATTTTAATTAAAAAAAAACAAAGCTTTAAATTAGTCATTTTATGTAAGAAATTTCAATCTGTAAACATAACAATGACAGGCAGTGAATCATAAAATGTTAAAAACTAGTATATAATAACAGAAAAAATGTGTAAGCAGAATTAAAATATCTATAAAAGTAAAGAATGAAATGGATATGTAGAGAAACAGCCTAGAGAAAAATTAAATATTTAATGGACACAGATTGACTGAAAATAAAATTAAAATTCAAGTTTCCTTTCTAATAAATTGTAGTCCATTAAGGACATTTCATACCATAATTCCTGTAATATCTCCACCCTCAAATCTTGAAATAGCCACCTCCAGTGACTTTTGTAATGCAGCATTAATTCTCTGACCAATCAGTCTGTTGAGATCAATAGAACGTCCCAGTAGTTGTACATGGCGCTGTTTTAATAAAGTCTCATAGCGATTAGCAACTGGATAACTTATAGTTATACCAGCATTAGCACATTCAGCACGAAACCTCTTGTCTAACATCATACTGTAATAATAAAACAAGTTGTAAGTTACCATAGTTCATGGATAAACATTGTCAGATACCCACGGCCGAACCATTAACATTAAACAGCTGTAGGATGTTTGGCTGATATCGAGTCCATAAGAGGTGTGTCAAAGACAGCTTTTTCATTGGTTGCCTCACCATTTCATAAGGCGATTAAAACAAATCAAAAAGCTTGTTCTATAAGACGTTTGGTGAAATGTGAATTCTAGAAACATATTACGATTGTGCTCTCTGCTTGTGAATAATTTAGTTTGGGAATAGTTTTGCCTTATATATATTGGCAAGACACACGAAACAGGTTTACACCGTGGTTGCTGCTATTTAGTTTCTGATAGTTGTTTACCTTTGCAGTCAAAGAATATAAACTTTGCTGAACATGATTTCATTGGTCGATATTTTATGCCCCTGTTGCTGTATATCAACGCAATTTGAATCATTTTACCCACAGTCAATTGCATGTTATGTTACATGTAAATCAACCGTGGGTATCTGACGATGATGGATTAAGTACACCTTCATATAACAATATATCATCACAGCATGAGAATAATCTAGTTTTGCCTCTTACATATATAATATTTATCAAAATTCAAATAATTCAAGTATTAATATGTACAATGTGTTAATTTTTGCACTTACCTTGCAGCCAGATGCTTATAGTGGGCAAAGATCTGGTCACTAAGTTTATACACAAACTGGTCAAAGCACAGATTTACCTGAAAGAGTTAGAGCATAATAAACATTATGGAAAAATCTTAATACCAAATAATACTAACTGTACAAACAGAACATTTTTACTTAAATAGTGAATTTTCCTTTTGATTATGTTTTCAGTTATACTGCACTGAAAAGGTTATGACTTTGTGACTTATGATACCTATGGTATCCTTTCATTTATCATTTCAGTTAGTGATTTAAGTACTTTCCCTCTAATTGCACAGTTCTTTTCAATTTCTTTTTCATCTCTTTAAAGCATAAGATTAATTTATTCAATTGCAATTTTTATGAATTCTCATCTATATACAAACTATATCAATTTAAAAGGACAAACTTGTTGTTTTCATTAGTTTAAGTTATCCATTGAATTTTATAAACTCTTGTGATGTTAGCATAATGAAAACTGATATATATTTTGACATTCTGAATTTAACTTTGTTTTTATTATGATTTGAAACAAGAAATAAAGATGAAAAGAAAGAGACATTGATACATACCTCAGCTTCAATTTCATCATAGAGAAATTGTTGATGGAACAGTATGAGTGCATTATGGGCACTGTCATTGTACAGATCTAATGGGTACAAGATGTATCTGAAATATTACATTTAATTACATATAACTATGTTAACATATATATCACTATATAAATAGCATGCTTATAACTTTGACACATGTCATATATGTATGTAATAATACTGTAAATGAAACTCAACAACTTAGTTGATATAAGAAAAAAGGGAAAATATCACATAAAGTACATCTTTGTGTAAATACAATGATTTTGATATTTGAAACAGACTTTTATTTAGAATTCTATAATCAATACATTTTGTTTTATCACTTACTCCATCATAGATGGTTCTTTGGTTTCTAGGATGTGGTCAGTCAGTATCCACGGCATAGACATTTCTATTGGGAACTGTAACACAACAGTATAACATATATAACTGTAACTTCAACATTTGAGAGAAACGTTTAATATAACTCATCATAATGTCAGCTATGATAACTTCATAACAAACTCAAACAGCTTTTTTCTTACCTTTTCACAATAAATTATTTAGTTAAATAGTCATAAAAGGACAGACTCAGATTTTTTCGCACAAAGAATTTTTTTTACAGCTACCTGCAACAATTAGCTAAATACTGTTTTAACTAACTTTGACTGAAGTCTTTTGGGAATATAGCTTCTCAAAAAAGACTATCCTCTGATAGCATAAAATTACCTGTATTCTACGTCCCATGGTCATCTCAAGGAAGAATTCCCGGTACCAGAGTTGTGACAAGTTACAACTGTTGTGTAGAGATTCTATAAAAATAACAAAACTTGCTGAAATACTGCATACACTCAAATATTATCTGTTACAGATTTATCAATTTAACATTTTTTTTAAAGATAGGTTGTTGTTCAACCGAAACTAGTAGAATAATAAATACAGTTAAAGTTTGACCCATTGTTAACGCTGGTTCCTCTTTCTTCTTTTTTGTATTTGAGCCGTGTCATGACAAAACCAACATAATGGGTTTGCAACCAGCATGGATCCAGACCAGCCTGCGCATCCCGCAGTCTGACCAGGATCCATGCTGTTCGCTTACAAACCTTTTAACAAGTAGAGAAACTGATAGCGAACAGCATGGATCCTGATCAGACTGCGTGGATGCGCAGGCTGGTCTGGATCCATGCTGGTCGCAAACCCATTATGTTGATTTTGTTGTGACGTGGCTCATTTGTTTTTTAAAGTAGTAAAAAATATTTTGACTTTAGAGTAGATAAAAGATATAATCTTTGTTGTGACCTTGAAATGCATTTTTATTTCTTACAAATAAAAATGGAAGAAACTATTTAAAACAAATTTAAACTGTTAGTGAAGATTTATATTTAGAAATAAATTACATTAAATGTGCTAGTGCAGAGAAAAGTATAATGATGCAAGGAAAGCATGGTATTTACAAGGGTAAATAATAGGTATTATTATATTTCAGTATTTACACAATTTTTATCTGAATGAACTAGTTGTGATACAAGAGAATATCAATTTAGCATATTTCATATAAATGTTAGAACTTTATAATGCATCTGCCTGCATAGCAATTTTATTATATAACAAGAGTATGTATTTAATTAATTATAAAGTTAAATATATCTCTTCACAAGTTTAAGGAAGAAATATCATGCAAAGTCACAATAAACTAAAACCCCTATGAAACAAAAAATCAAATAAACAAGCAATTATCATAGTATTGCAAGCAATCCATAAGTCCCCTACCGGTTAGAACCCCAGCAACATTCTGATTTCAATTTTACCAGTGAATGAATGACATGAATGAACTTAAATCTTTTGAGTTCTAAGTTTGTCTATTTCACAGTAATGTGTTAAGTTTCCCTGCCTAGTAAGGCAATTATGTTTATACAACCTGGTCATATTATTTCGATGTGGGATTTTAAAGTAAATCCTATAAGGAATGAAGAAGTTGGAGTAAAAAATACCAATTTCTCGAAAAAAATCTAAGTTCAAGGGGGACATAATTCTGGAAATAGTCTTGCTAGAGTATTTAACCTTCTCAAAAATGTTGAGTGATAATAAGAAACATATATATGAAGTTTGAAGAAGATACATTACGAAATAAAGAAGTTATTTAAAAAAGACAACATTTTTTTTCATAAAAATTCTAAGTTCAAGGGAGGTAATACTGATAATTTTTGTGCTAGAGTTGTAAACCTTGTCACATATGATGTGGTTGATGACCAGAAACTTATATTTAAAGTTTGAAGTAAACACCTTAAGAAATACAGAACTTATAGTGAAAAAGCTGAAAAAAATTAAATCAGAAATCTTGAAATCCAGGCTATTTGTTGCCATAGCAACCAGAATTTTCAACATAGGAAGAAAAGAAAAAGATGTGCATAATCTGCAGACTGCAATCTACCCATATTTTATGTTTCATAAAAATATTTTCAGTACTTTTTGAGTTATCACTGGATCCAGTTTATGTGTTAAATTTGCCATATTTTCAGACTATTTGTTGCCATAGCAACCAGAATTTTCAACATAGGAAGAAAAGAAAAAGACGTGCATAATCTCTATACTGCCATCTATCCATATATCAAGTTTCATAAAAATATTTTCAGTACTTTTTGCGTTATCGCGGGATCCAGTTTTGTGGACGGACGGACTGACAGACTGACAGACAGACGGACAGACAGACAGACGGACGGAGGGTAAACCTAAAGTCCCCTCCGGTTAAACCGGTAGGGGACTAATAAACTAAAAGCAAATGTACACAATTCAATCATGAAAAAATATACATGCACTGGACATAAAGAAAGAAAATGATGAAACTTTTTACCATTCAAATTTAAAAGATAACTCCAAAAGTAAGAAGTTTTATGAAAGTTGTCAATGGCCACAAAATCCCTCAAATCAAGTTCTTTACGTAATGTCTTCTTTCCTCCAGCATTTTTATCACCAATTACTGATTCTAACATAGTGCGTACCATATAGAGCTGGAAAAAGGCATGCATAGAAATGGTACAACATCGTCTTATATCCAGAGACAAAAATAATGCCATATAAAAACATGCACACAACAATATAAACAGTAAATATTTCTGCATAAAAATGTCTGTGATAAATGAAACTTTTGTTTGTAAAATAATCCTTGTACTTTCAAAAAAAACATTTTATTTACAGTGGAGTGGAAGTTTCTTACTTTTCAATTTTGACTTTTACCTGGACGATGCAGAAACATTCACAGTGCTTTGAAATAAAATGGAAAATAAAAATTTCAGTTGAAATATTCTGGCAACTGTTTTTGTAAAGAATCTTCTTCTCCAACAAACACTTCTGAACTAGATTGTTTAACATTGATGTATGATTTTCCCTATTTATAAGAAATCATATTGCCAGAATATTTCAGTAAGAACATCTAGGGTTGAAGTCACAATGGGGATACAAAGACATTTGATGTTTTAGTGCATAACGTTAATTATCATGCTTGAAAATAAATTAGGAAAATAAAAGGAAAAGCATGGCAGAATGGCTACAGTAAATACAACACAATAGAAAGACTGTTGCTATGGATTCATCAGTGATACATGGTTGCTAGGTAACCAAGTATAAGCTAGTGATCAGGTACATAGAGACATCATCTGTGAACATTCTGAAAGCTAAAGGGTAACATGCAACACAGAAAGGAAAACAACACCAGTGCTGACATCCTCACTGTCATGCTTGTATAATTACCATTAAAGTTCAGAACATAGGACCAAAAAAAGGAATTTTTGTGGAAATTATCAATGGCGAGAAAATGTTGGTAGTCAATGTCCTTTCTCAAAGTTTTCTTTCCTCCTGTATTTTTCTCAGCAATGAGAGATTCTAACATGGTGCGTACCATGTACAACTGAAATATAACATCAGCATGGCATATCAATGACTTGTTTCTCTTTTCTTTGAAAATTCAGCCTAAAGTAAAGTTACTCTAACCCAAGTAAATTGTAGAAGTATAATTCACGGAATTATGATTTCTAATTGCTTATTAATGACCAATCCAATTCAATCCAATCCAATGGTAGCATTATAATGTGTTGCTTTCATCAACTCAAATCACAACATACCTTATTTCATTATAATATGTTAACACATGGAAACACTTCTTAACTTAAATATATATACATCTGATGACAAGACTACAGCATAACAGGTGGCTTCAAATTGCCATCTGTCAAACTTACAAGTTTCAAAAGTCTCTTTGTCAATGATATGAAAAATAAAAATAAAAATATCTTTCCTTGATTTGAGTAAAATATAAAAAAAAATTTCCACCTGCTTCAAACATTTGAGACTTAACTTGTCTATTAATAATATGTTAGAGGAAGCATACCTGGGTAGTTGATGGCCCTACATTGCGTCTTGGAACTTTAATAAAGAACCCTTCATCCGGGTCTTTCTTTCCCTTCATAGCAGGGTCTTCATGAGGTTCAACTCCTCTCAGCCAATCTACACATGTGTTACGTACAGACATCACAATTCTATAAATAAACATGTTAATATAACATCATGACTAATGTTTTCAACACAACCCATTTACATACATAAGTCAAAAGCTTATTCATGTTTGTATATGTTAAAAATGAAATTTACAAAATGAACAAGTATCCAAAAGACTAGTTATCTATGGATCGCAAGACTTGCGGGTTCAACTTCACACTCATTGTTCAGTATTGGTTGGTTCCAGGAACAGATTAGAAAGTTTATCTTATAGCTTCCTACACAATCAAACTAAAATATATTATGTATAAACCAAAATAAAATATATTTTCATGTATCACAACTATTCATTTTATGCCGATTACCCCAAAAATTTGCCTACATCTTGATTATAATATCAATACACAAAGACCAATATAAAACATTGATTCAGAGGTTGACTGTAAAGAAATAAAATATCATATTAACATTTAATTTTTCTGATATATAGTGTTCATCAAAACTGAAAAAAAAACATATTGATATTGAGAAAAAATGAGATCACACCAGATTCTGCTCAAAATATTTAATACACTTAGTTAAAATAACTCACACTTTAATGACATCATTCTTCTTCTTTATTGCCTTCCTGACTGGATCTCTGAGAACAAGCTGTACAAAGTCCTGTAGCTCTGCATAAATATGGCGCCGTATAGCGTCCATGAACACTGACTCCATACGTAACATAAGCAACTGTAACCCTTTTATCATTGCTATCACCTCTATTAGAGCAAACTTCTCCTCACTGCTGTAGTTATAACGTGTTGACTGAAATATAAATTCATATGAAAATAAATAATATTTAGCACTTTTACTTAATCCATCAATGAAAAAGTAAATAAAACATAATCTAATACAGAAAAAGGAAGTCCCAAAGAACGCCCCAAAACGACAAAATTGAAAATGTTGCAGGCTCAGTATGATTGAGCTTGTTCATGGACAGTACTGTCAAGTGCAAGTTACCGTCCACATTTCCTAGCACTGGCTTAAGCAAAATTCAATATTTTATTTTTACAGTTTTTTGAACTGATAATACTTCGAATATTGAAACATTCGCGATGTGTTCATATGGTGGTAAAGGATAATGCTATTATTCACCAAGAGCTATGATTGAAATGTAAACACAGGACCATTTAGTTTCATAATGTATCTAAACTTTTTCACTATATTAATCCAAGTAACAAAAGCGTCAACCAATCCAATGTCTAGCAAAGAGATTTATAAACTAAATGTTTAAGCTTTTTTTCAGGCTCTGAAACAAAAAATGACCCTCTGATACAAAAGGCATTTTTTTTTCTTTGTATAACTTTTGTAGTGGCTCACTAAACTAGCCATATATGAAATATCATATCTGTAAATCAAACAGATTTAGTGACACACTTTTTTATCTGAGAAGAATACTTTCTACTAATTTGATAGGACGATGAAACAATGTCACAGACTAAATATCTAGGCCATAAAGTTTCAGATAAGAAGAGTTGAATATCTTTTTTCCTCCATTATTTCATTTCTAAAACTTATGACTTACTATTGCATCAGACTATTACCTCATGTATAAAATCTGTTAAAAACTACTTGAAAATAATACATGTGACATTTGTAAAAAATCTTCTTGGTTAACAGATAATGTTTAAACATATGGAAATAACCAAAGTCAAGTTCAAAATATACATTACTTATTTTAGACAGAATATGGCGATCTTTTAAGCAATTGCTTCATGTAAATAGATAGAAAACACAATGAGTAAGGAAAAATGTCTTTGCTTAGAGGTAGCATGTTTGATATGCCTAATATATAGGTACAATATATAAATATGAATATAGATAAGTAAATGATGTGCAGTATATAGTACATACCCTTTCATACTCCTCTGACTCTACAGGACAATTCTTGTTCTGATGCGGATCTGTAGGATTCAACAACTTCCAGGAATACTGAAAAACATATTTGTAGGTAAGAAATGTTCATCCAATCAGACCACACATTCAAATAAGACACAAAAACAACACATGTATTGTAGATTAAAAATCTAATGTTGTATCATTGTCATTTAGATTATTAGCTCTGATAAAAACTCTAAGATACAATTATTTATAATGATCATCTATTATCATCTTTGTATTTATATATAAACTTATTTTATGTATATAATGATAAAGCAGACTTATTATAATAATACCAGTTCCATGACTTGTTGAGTCCATGCAGAAAGCAGTTGTAAACCCCGGAGAGCAAGTTCATACAGATCTTTATTTTCTGCATCTGTTCTTGGACTCTCTCTTGTTGTTGTTATTGCCTACACACACAAAAATAAAATATTTGTACATGTGTGGAGTAACAAAGGTTTTTGACACTTAATTGACAAACCAATTTTGCATGAACAGATTTCTCCTATTTATAAAACATAATCATTACAATTAGGCACAAATACATAAATTTTTGTTATTAAATAACATAAAGCATGAAAATGGTAAACTGATTAACAAAATAACATACATCTTTTACAATACATGCTAGAAAAGGCAACTTCATCATCAAAACTGTCATTAATAACATTCCAGATTTATACATTTATTAACACTACATAGTTATTACAAAGAATCCTTCAAAAGGTAGCTACAGGAAGACTCTGAGCACAACTTAGCAACTTACTACACTATAAAATGTTGGAAACATTGATTGATAGCTGCTTATATAATCAATTGACCAGGGTTCCATTTTTTTTGACAGTATCTTACATAAATTATATAAATTAAGGAATACCTCGTTACTATGTCTTGAGAGTTGACTAATATATGACATATGATCTTCTCTGATTGGTTCAAGGTTAGCTAGGATGTTAGACTGTGGGCTCACATGACCTGACTCACAGTTTGGCCACTTTGACGGATCAAAGTTTGTACTGTTTTTGATGTACTGGAAGGGTGCAACTTGCATATCTCCATAAAGGGGAACAATTTCTAATTGCTGAAAGAATATATGACATCATATCATTTCCAAAATTGTGTATGGATGTGAACTATTTATTTGGCCATTAAAAATATTTTTCTTATCAATTTAATATTTGTTTTAAAAGATACACTTATCTGCAAATATGGAATTTATAAAAAAAATCAGCAATTTACTCTGTTGAAAGTTAAATGGCTATTTATCATGAATGTGCAACACTATTTCGAATCTCAAAAAGTATGTTTACCTTGAGAATTTTGTCTATCTTAGAGAGGCTGAGTTTCTTTTTCTGGTCCATCTTATAAATACTGTTGTCAGCATTGTCCATCATAAATAAACCAAATGCCATCACCTGTATACAAAATAAAAACTTCAACATCACTTCTGAAATAACCTTTTTTTATGCTACAAAATATAATAAAAGTAATAAAACAACTGAAGCAAGATTGCAACAAATTAGTCATGTTACATCATCTTCTTTACTATGTTTATTTACTTGTTAAGATCTACAGTTCATGTCCCACCTTTACACCAATCTAACATATCTGAGTGCCAAAATGTTCTTTAGTTATTGATAAGCCTAACCTTAGGTGGACAATAAAACAGTGACCTTGACCTTTGACTTATGGACCTAAATATCTGCAGGAATTATCATCTAGTCAACACCAAAATTCATACCAAGTCAATGACTGTAAGCCAAAGCTTTATGACAACTAATCAGGCAAGTTTTCTATGCAGCATCCTTCATCCTTGACCATCCAGCCGTAGAATAAATAGGGACTCATATACTTGAAACGGCCAACCACCTCTACTAACATTAGAACTATATGCCAGAGCATTTTCAGTTTTGGTTGGAAAGTATAAGGTCTGAATTGACTTAACCCACAAACAAGCCATGCTTACCTTAACTAACATGTATTTTTCATTTGGTTCCAGGTACATTTTATTTTCATACATGTGTACACATATACTGATGATGTCAGCAAATAAGTCCTCATATCCCTGTATAGTCTGCAGGGTATTCTTTAATGTGTCTCGTATCTTGTTTTGAGTGGCAAGGAACATTGAAAGGTTCTGTGATTCCTCTAAAGTGGCAGGGTCGGCCATTACCTTCAAAAACTGTGCAGCTCTATAATATATCAGTTTAAATACAAACTAAGTTAGGTTAAGTGATAAAGACATGGTTGATCATAAATTACAATACAATTCCTCAATGAGCCTGGGAATATATTATGATACAGAAATTTCAAAAGCATGCAAATTTGCCATACTAACACCCACCACTTACAAGGATGTAAAATTCACTTCATAATTAGTTATCATCATTCATTATGATGAGGAAAAGACCACTTATTCAAAAAGGTCAAAGGTTTAGTTAACAAGGAACAAATACAGCAAAATAACAAACTATTCATGTTTACATATTTAACCATTAAGATAATGCTTGAATTATACTTTACATAAATATATCTCAAATAGATAATAAACAATTTGTTTAACTGTACAATCACACTCATAAAAAGATAAAAATCAACTACATTTTGTAAATGAAATCATAAATAATATGATATATAAAATTGTGCAAAGTGTCTTGTAGGGAACAATCTGCATAAATATAATTGTACATTTATAATCTGGAATACTAAAGAATAAGGAAATGTCTGTTTCTGTTTGTGCTAGTGTGATGGCAAAAAATGATAAACATGTGATCATGAAAAATGGTCTGGGATAGACATAAATATTTTAAAAGCTCTATTTAATTATATCTGTCTCCAAATATTTTGTATTGTTCTTAAAATACGAATTTTAGTTTTTCTTTGTAGAATTTATAACATAATAAACAGAAAGCTATATCAATATAAACTCTTATAAAATCTCTATAAAAAAATCCAAATCAAGATCATAACAAAATTAAACGACTTGTCACAAGCACCAGTAGCTGTATTCTTTCTATTTTCATGCTAGTAATAATCAACATTTTTAGGCATGTATTCAGTTTTCTTTTCAATAAGAGATCTGGTAAAAGCAGTGACTGTGTTAAAAGGGTTGCCTGTTACGATACTGGGGTCAGTATCTCGAAGCTATCGTTAGCATAACGACTGTCGTAAGCCTCTCGTTAAGGTTTTTACTGGTATCTTGAAACTCTCGTAATTAACGAATAATCGTTAAAATGCCCAATTATTAACGGTTGCGTTGAAGGTGTCGTATAGCTCTCGTTACTATCACTTTGGCGCAAAAGGAAGAATACTTTGAATTTAAAATACACAAAAAAATGAGAATTATATCACCTTATTGATAAAAATGATGAACCTACATAAATATAATATTTTATTTCTTTTTCTCACATATCAAACATATGTAAAAGCTCTTTTAGTTTACATGAAGATGTATATTTAAATGCAGATGAAAAAAATTCATATAATAACTGAAGCATCGAAAGGAATAAACTCTGAAATGTGTAATTTTGCACAAGACAATATAAATAAATATTTGCATGTACATAATGTTAAAAATGTAACAAAATTCGGTACTTTTTACAGAATTATATTTCGAAAAGTTACCTGTGATGTAATGATTTAATGACATGAAGAAAAATGTATTACGTTACGCTGCAAAAATCAGTACAACAGAAAGGCATGAAATATATGGAAATTTTGTTTGTTTAACGTAACAGATTGAAACATTTTGCTCTTGCCAACACCAGCTGTTATATTTTTACTTGCTATATTTAAATTTGTAATACATAATCCTTTCTTAATCCTTTGTTAAAGACAAAATGAAAATTTATCCATAAATTAACAGAAGGTTATATAAAAATCTGGAAACAAAATGATCCCTCGGAAGCATTAATCACAACAAAATTACAAGAGAACTGCTGACTCGGTTTGATTGAGTCTGTACATGAGGGATAATGAATACGTGCAACATCCCTCACGTCCCCTAGCACCGGCTTGAGCGGTACTCAATTCTCAACACTTAATAGTGCTGGCATCAATGATCCCGAAGGACCAGAAAAATATAACAACACTGAAGTGAACATAGTGAATATCCACTGAAAATAATATTTTTTAATATTAGACAGGTTGCGTGACCTTATATAAACGGTTGTTTGTAAATATAACCCGAGCCGTCAGGCGAGGTTTATATTGCAAACAACCGTTTATATACGGCCATATAACTTGTCAGGAATATTTATAACGAATTTATAAAGCTTCGAAATCGGAAGTTCTTTTTAAAGTGTAAAATTAAGATTTAGATATATGGAAATTTATCATGTTTCGTGAACATATTCTATATTTCACTCAAACGAAAAACATCTTAATATTTATTTAAAACTTAACCCATACTCGCTGTCGTCGTTGTATCATCATCATTATCATAGAAATAAGCATTGTCACTGATATATCACGATCGTTTTTTTAATTTACATAAGAAAAAAGAATTCTAGATTAATTATGGTGAGATAAAGCGTTTACATTGTATACTAAGCCGAGTTATGGACTAACTTGAATCTTAATTTATTGTCCTGATATGTGTTTAAATAAACAGACTACTAGTATTCAAAATAGACATTATGACGACTGAATGTTCGCTATTTACATTCATTTAGATATTTGCAATTCCAATATTTCATCCATGAAAGCAACATTTTTCAAGTTTGAATCTTGAGAGTATACTTACACCATGAAACATGTTAATTGCTGTAGCCTGAAAAAAATGAGGGAGGGTATTGAGAAGAAGCTCGGCCAGAATATTTGTTTTGACTTAGTAAAGTGTTTAAAATGTCTGATTTCCACTTGCAGCCTTTACTGCACAATCGTCAGTCTACAGTCGTTTTCCCTCAGTTACTAGTCTTGCTGTTTCTATTTTAAGTTTTTACCTTTCAATAGTAATCACGTCAGTTTCATAGGAATTTTCAACATTTGCAATTTTTCTTGGTTTACGTTTTGTTACGACCATTCCTTCCTGCTTTAACACACTGTTCGCGGTATTCAAATGTTTACATAATTCAATCGTTAATAACTAACGAGTAAGGAACGAACGATTGCTTAACTATCGCTTTCGAGATACCCGCGCTAGTCTCTCGTTAACCAACCTTCCGTCAATCGTTAGCACGTTCGTAAACGCAAATATAACGATAGCTTCGAGATACTAACCCCAGAAGCTGTAAAAATTGTATGACTTTCTTGTAAAGCAATACCTTCATAGGATGAATTATTGTGTAAAATAAAATGAGAGTGTCGCGATATATTTCTACATGAAGGTGGCTGGGTCTGCTGGTTATATATGTTAGGGAAGGAGGATTTATTCTACCTGTTATAAGATGAATAGTCATTCTTTATAGAAGACCTACTGTTGAGCAATTCATTCAGCTCAAACATCATATTCAGACATTTAGCCAACATTAGACGCTGAGCCGTTGACCGGAAGTCTGATTTTTTATGTTTATGACTCATACTTTTAACATGAGCTCCGATAGCAGACACGGCCCTTTCCTGTTAGAGAATTAATCATACAATATACATATAAATATATAAACATTACTCTGTCATACATTTTCCTAGCCCTTTCCTCCAAGAAATGTTCACTTTGTGACATACTAGTGATCTATTTATGAAGATTATTTAAGAATGAAATTGTACTATGTGTACAGTATTCCTAATCTTCTATGCAATATTAGATTGCATGAATCCTTATCATTATAAACATAAAATTCTGTGAATATTGTCACTCTGTCTACATTTCTTGGAGAAACAATAACAAAGAGCATAAAATTCCATCAGCTTAACTGAAACTACAGCTTTTCAAGACATTCAAAGTTACCAAAAAGGACATCTTTTTGTATATAAAATCTCTACATTTGTCTTAATTTTGACAGCATAACTAATTTCCCGCCTCAAATCTTAATGTAAATATGAAAGCCTCAGCTGTAATTTCAACTATTCTGAGCCTCGATTTTCACTAACTTCACTGGCTGTGTCTAATATAAACTCTTGTATATTCTACAGAAAAAAATAATCCTGGTTTTTGATAAATACAGACTGGCCTGAAGTCATGAAAATCGAGGAGAGACAAATAATAACAACAATATCACCCCACCAATTACCTTCTATAAGCTGAATAATCGTTCTTCACACTAGATTTCATATTTTTCAGTTCATCAAGTTCGGCAAACATGTTGATGAATTTGCCAAGCGTGACGAGGTAAGCCTCAGATACAAAGTCGTTTTTCTTCTCCTTGTGACATAATCTTTTTACCTCGCCACAAAAACGTTCAATTGCTCTTATCTTAAATGAATGTAAACACCTTTCTGTTTATTGTTATGCAATATATTGATAGGTGGAATATTTTTCTATTAAAATTTACAAAGCTATATTTGGCTCTTAGGATAGTAAAATTAATTTTTATATTGTTATTAAGATGATTATATGAGACATAGAACGAAAGAAACTTGTCAGTATATTCTACTGAAAGCTAGTTATGTATGGGTGAAATCATCGCCAAATCTGCTAAAAACAGAAGCATTACATTTCGTTCTCAAAAATTTCATTCTGTTTACATACAACATTCATGTACATTAAATAACATAGACATTCTATGTTAAAAATCTTTTAAGAAATGATCATGAAAACAATTTTATTGTCGTTAAATTTTTTTTTACAAAATATTTCATCAGAATATAGCTTAATACACTTTTATCTCATAACAAATGATTTTTTAATTCAAATCATAAGGATAAATGGAAGTATAACATATGGATAACACATATACAAACATAGAATACACTAGAAATGTGATCATAGGACACTTATGTCCCCACTTCATTTCCTGTCACAGAGTTATAAGTACAATTTACATACTTATGCATATATTTTTTACATTTTATAAAAGTCAAGTGTTATATTAATAACTTACATATATAATAAAAGCTTATTAACTATTGCAAACCTATAACTTAGGAAACTCTAGTTTTTTCAAATCAAATCAAAATTTATTTATTGTCGGTATATATAATATATATATATTATGATTATACAAGTATTTCTTTAAGTTTTCTCTAATAACAAGTGGGAAAAGCTCTCAGTAGTCAAAGGCAAGATGACCTTGACCTTTGACCTACTGACCTAAAAAATCTAGCTAAAAAGTTCTGACCAAATAGTAAACATACCAGACCATGAACAGATGGCACAGAATCATCAATTACAGTAAAAGAAACAATAAGACACACAAAAACCCTATATGCTAACAAAATTGTTTTTGAGATTATGTTATGATAGAAACTGTCATTGGAAAGATTTAAATGTAATGTAATAGGTGACCCTGGCTTCTTTACATACATTTATTCAAAGTTTATTGACAGCCGGTTATTGTTCTAATATAAGCTGGTAACCAGTATAATTGACATACCTGGAAGTACATAAAGTTCCTGAGTTTAGATACGCCAGGATCCAGTACCTCGACTATCTTGTGATATATCTCTACTCTATTCTCTTGCTCATTGCTCTTTACCTTTAATATAAACAATGCTCACAATCAGTATTTTATTCATGCTATAGATGTAATTTATCAACATTATAAAAGGCACCATTGATTCCACTGTAAAATCTGGGTTTTTTTTACCAACTCTACTCTTAGCTTTAAAATCTTTAAACTTCACATTTATATTATCACTGTTGGTTTAAATTTAATTTGTATATAGTTTATATAAATGTCATGGTTATCCAATGAAAAGTGACATTACAAACATGCAGAATTATATAACATACAGTACCTGAGGTAAGGCCCTGGAGCAGCATCTCCATGTATACATCATAACAGCATATTCTTGTCCTTCTTCCAACAACTTATTCTAAAAATATATAACAGAATCACTCAGGGCTCGAGCTAGTGGGCGATTCGGGCGAAATAGTCGCCAAATTCCGTCTGACTTCGCCGACATCCTACATGAAAGCGAAGATGAAGTCGCCCGATTTTTATTGATCCATTATTGAAAATTACAAACAATAACAATAACTGTGAATAACATGTTGTGTGTGTTTGCTTTGTTTACCCTCACCGCCGGAAAAAGGGACTGTCATGCATCTCAATCAACGCGAAATGTCATTAATCCGTTTGTTTACCAACATGTCATAAAAGTCTAATTAACAGACACTCGAGGAACAATTATACTCCGCCCACGGCGAGATTACCGATATGTGCGAGAAACCAATCGTAATTCACGTTTTAATCGAGGCGACATTATTAAACCAATCATTAAATCGCTAACATACAACTACCCGTAACAATTATTTATCATGGACGGATCAAACGTCAATTAAATTTTCACTATCGAATGATTGTCAGAATTAAGAGGAACGCTCGACATATAACTGTAACGGTAATTTTAAATGAAAGTTATGATAACCTTTTTTGTTGACAAGTTAAATTTGATAAAATTGACGGCGTATTACACTGTGTTTATTACAAATGAAGTTAAATTAAAGATCGTTTCTTTCGTTATCTACTTTCATTTTCTTTACAACATAAGTGAATATGAATGTAATGTCCGGCGCAAGCTTTTTAATGGAATAACTGTTAATCCACCCATGATATGATCCATGATAGGAATCAACTATGGCTTTTTTATCTTTATTTAATGCAATGGTTGCATTACATGATACTCATTCTTATTACTTGTTTCAAACTACTTTAAATTAAAATTGAATATTCTGTTGTAACACAAATCCAATTCATTTAATAAGATATGTACAGTGAGTCAACATAATTGCGATAACATACAACAAACATCGATAAATGAATCTCCTCACTTCTCCCTAAAGTCTCCCCACTTCTCCCTAAAGCAGCTGGAGGGAGAAGTGACTTCTCCCTAAATTTTGAACCTAGCTTGAGCCCTGATCACTGTCTGAGTCCCTTAACAGATAGGATGGAACAGAAATGTTCACGTGTACTTTAAGCATAACGAAAAAGCCTAATATAAAACAATAAATTGTAATGATCAAAATTACCTTATAGCCGAACTTTATTTGATAAACCAATCAAAGATTCAAAATTTACATATGAGATTCTTCTTCTATAATCTTTTTATGTTAATCTTCTGTATCAACTGACAATAGACTGATTTCTCTATAATATCTCATTATTTCAAGAGTTAATATCAAAGAAAACTTAGGCACAAACTTGTAGAGATCTACATGTAGAATAAACTTACAAGATCAGCATGGACTGTGGCCTCCTCAATGTATCTGGCAACACCAGTAACATAGGCTGCTCTGTCTTCAAAATTTGTGTCAAAGTTGGTCTGGTAGTGTATAGAAAGTGATAAAGCTTCGATACATGGTTGTTGATCAGGGAGAGGTAACTCATCCAGAACATCAACATTCTGCAATGCATCAGTAAGCGTTATCTTCTCACCAGAGGCCATGTTGGCCACCACCTGAAATAAAAACACATAAATAGTAAACTGTAATGTGTCAAGAACAGGAAATGTATTCATCTTACACTATTTAATGAACTGTTACTCCTAAAAGATAATTAAAAAAAAGAGCTTTCAGTGCCCTTGATTATAAGCGAGCTCAAAGAGCAGAGAACCTGCTTGTGAATCAAGCTTTATGGTAACAAGAGTACCTGCTAGATAGTGATGGTTTTAAAAACTCATGCCAGAAGTACTGCAAAATTATGGGTAATTGACATATCGACAAACCTCAACTTTTCGAATTAAAAGATAAAAGCTGAGGAATTCTGATTTAAAACGGATGTGTTGACCGGTCTCCTGCTCACTACTATGGGAACCATAATAGGACAGGGAACCAGAATAAACTGAAAGTGCATAAAATACCAAATGGCGCTTTCTGACTACCATCATTACCATGTATTATAGTAAGCTTGACGAGCTGGCCCGAAGGGCCTGCTCGCAAAGCGAGCTTTACGGTAACGCTAGTACCTGCTAAGTGATGGTTTTGAAAACTTTCGTCCGGAGTACGAATTGGACACATCGCAACTTTTCGAATTTAAAGATAACGATAAAAACTGAGGAATTCTGACTGAAAACGGATGTGTAGACTGGTCACCCGCGCACGTCTATGGGAACCATACTTGGACAGGGAACCAGAATAACGAAAGCTGTGTATAAAATATCAAATGACAGTTTTAAAACGGAAAATGTAAAATGAAAATTGAAGGCGCCATTTTGTTTGAAAAATCTGAGAAATAAAAACAATTTTTTGTCGAATTTTGTTGTGAAAACTATCTAGAATGAAAGAAAATGGTCTAACTAAGAAAATGAATCCGAGCACCAATATCTTTTATTCAGTCGTTAACGCGGTACAGACGTTTAAGGTATTGTTTACGTGACGTCACAATGTAGCACCAAACAGCACGTGCAAAACAATCAAATCAAGTACGCTATTTTAATGTCGCAAACGTTTTAAGTTTTACATTTATTTCACTTTTAATACGCGGAAAGTCCGAGCGGGGCCAAAGGCCCCGCGAGGGCTGTAGCGCTCTTAGATAACATGTATGACGCGTATCAATTCAAATGAAATCAAATTAAAAGTAAATGAAAATTTCAAAAAAATATATCCTATACCTAATGAGCTGTGAAAAAATCCTTAGTTAACTGGGCGCCGCCATTTTGAAATCACTTTGAGCTAAATATAAATATTACAGCGCTTTTAATGAGCGTCTACATAATTTAGACTATTGCTAGCGTCTGCTAAATAACACTTTCGGTGAGAGAATGATGTGCAAAATCAGAAAGTAAACATGCATTTAATTGATAAGAACTATAGTAACGATAATTAATATAAAAAGTTACTTTACATATCCTTTTTGATAAATTAGCACATTAAAAATAACGTTAAAACAACAACTGTGATTAGAGATTAACAAAAAATGGCGGACAGGATTTCAAAACGCCGACGCGTGCGCAGTGGTCCCCCTATACGTTCGGAGATTGTCGGAATATTCCGAGCGCTCTGACGATAGGCTGAACACCACCAATTTATTTGTTTTGTTTACAGTACAAAATACCTGCAAGAAAGATCTGGTTTACATGTACAATAAACATGTTACGCTCAAACCATAGTTCATAAGAGCTTTCCGTGCCATAGGTAGCACCTAATTTCATATTAATCTTTATTTCGCTTGAAAAATTATAGAGTGAAATAAAATAAACAAAGTTTTATCAACATTTTCAAAACTCGTTATTCATTTAACGACAGGGGCGGAGCCATATAACACAGTATGTGTAACGTCACACGGACTCGTCTCTGCATTTGAAATAAAAATGAGCGATTATTTCATACTATTTCACGTTAAAAGTATCGCTTTGAGGCTTTGCCTTTTTCATATTAATTTCTGTCATAGAGCTCGCTCTGAGGCTTTGCCTTATTCATATTTTCAACTACATTTTACGACAATATAATCTTATTCTATATCATCAAAAGCTTTTAAGTTAAATAAACTTTGAAAAACTCTCTTCCTCAATTTATCAGTGTTCGTCAAACCGATAGTTATGCAGATTTCACATGAATGATAACTGCTTTGATATATTTAGTTTCGTACAACAACATCTTAATTCATTTTTAAACTTATCTAAAATGAAAATAAGCGAAAATAACAGTATCTAACAGATAAATCAAATAAATTGACTAACCTATTTTTTGTAAAAAAAATAATGGAAGATTGCTTCCGGTATCAATCAACCCAAAGATTGACAATTGACCTAATGAAAATTTTATAAACCAGAATAATAATAATTACTGAAAAGAAAATTGCATATGTAAAGTTGGAACAGTGATGTCCAATCTTTAAGCAAATGTTTAAACTACCGTTTATATAAACCAAAGTTTGTATTTGATTATTATTTAAACATACTTCCTTGGCAACTGTCTTCAGCTTTGTTAAAATATAGATGTATGAATCGTAAAATGAGAACGGTAGATTCCTTAATATAGAGAGAAACTTGCGTATATGTACTTCATGTGAGTCAAACCAAATGGGTGACGAATTTCACTATCTGTTTTAGTGTTCACATTTTGTTAATAATAGACGTAAATTCATAAACCGTATTACTATAGGTATCCTAGTACATTGAAATTTGAAGATCTTATGAATAGTAAAAACAAATCGCATTTAAAAACCCTTGCTTTGTTTTGTAAAGAAATAACAACATGCAAATAAGTATAGTATTGTATATCATTAGTCTTCTAGACAATTTTGTAAATGAAGCATCAATTTCGGTTATTATTAAGAATCTTGTCACATCTTTATTTTATTTTACAGGTACAATATAATTGTCACTCATTCTCCTGTTTTTATGTTCATTTTTCTGTGTTCCGGTTGTTACATGTTCACAATTTTTGTTTTTATAATTATGTCACATGTTCTTATGAACCATTGGCAGTATTGAATAAATCTTGAAAATCTTGAATGTTCTGGTAAATACATAGTACTTTTAAATGTGGATTTCTTTTTGTTCTTTTTTAATAAGTCTGCATGGCTGATGGGGTCGTGACAGTATGACTAGCTGTGTCTCCAGTTGAATTCAGTACAGGATGGTACAGGACTCATGAAAGTGATTTTCTGAAATGAATGACAAATTGTCAGTTTACAAACATGGACATTCTATATCACGTCCATCATGGCTTTCGTGGAAAAGGTCCCGTATGACGCAACTTATGATGATAGTAAATGACCTTCTTCAGTCTACAGCAAAAACAAGTACTCCTCATCCTCTTATATTTTAGTAAAAAATATGATAAACAAGTTCACCAAGGAAAGGCGGCGTTCAATGAACTCAACCCCTACAAACGCAAGCCATGTATAAGGTGAGTCATGACAAAAATCTATTAAAATGCATAACTATCGTATGTACACGTATAAGTTGTTAAACACTTAAAGGTGTTGTTTTTTTAAATGACAGGTTATATGCAATCTGTAGTATTAGACGGACGCTCCTCTGCAGCCATAATACTTTTGGAGACCACCAAAGAGTCAGTGCTTGATGGTGGTGGTGATAATGATGTTGGTACTTTACCCTCCGGACCACGACAGGGTGAGCCACATTGAATATAATATAGCCTATTTCAGCCACAGCATCGTTCCTGGCTAAGTTGTCAACTGGCGTCAGGTACATTATGTATGTTGCACATTTTCGCGTAAAGACTCAATCAAACTTAGTCTACAATTTTCATGTAATTTTGTTGTGATTAATTTTTCCGAGGGATCACATTTTGTACAGATTTTTATACTTCACAAAAACTGTGTGGCAGCTGTAAAAACTGTAAAAACTCGCCCCGTACTTCACTTCAGTGTTGTTATATTTTCTGGTCCTTCGGGATCATTGATTCCAACGCTATCAATTAAGTGTTGAAAATTGAGTACCTCTATTAAAGCCGGCGCTAGCGGGCGTGAGGATGTTGCACTTTTTTCATTATACCAATTGTACAGAATCAATCAAAGCGAGTCTGCAATTTTCATGTTATTGTGTTGTGATTAATGCTTCAGAGGGATCTCATTTTTTCCAGATTTTTTTTCACTTTCACAAGGAACTGATAACTTCTGTACATGCAAGAGCAGACCGATTCACAGTCCAACCGTGCTTGGACCCTTCTCTTTCTTTTATACATAAATGACATTCTAAAAGACGTCCAATCAAAAGTTCGTCTATTTGCTGATACTGCAATATACCTGACCTTAACAACAGGTCACAATTAAATCGGAAACCCTTCAAAAAGACTTAAATACCTAAAAAAAAGTGTTGGATTGGGATATGGAATTCAACCCATTATTTAAATGTCAAGTAATTCACGTCACAAGAAGGAAACATCCTATGCCAACTAATTATTCTCTTCATGGAACTACTCTAGAGGCGGTTACGTCGGCCAAATACCTGGGCTTTGATATATAAAATGATCTGTCAGTGCACCAAAAAGGCAAGCCAAACCCATGGCTCTTTAACCAAATCTCACCATTACATATTGCCAGGCTGCTTTTACTTTTATCAAACACTTTACATTCCCTTTTTATCTTAATGTATGTAATATTTTATATAAATGTTTTCTTTTATTTTCTCTTTTTAAATTATGGTAGTGGAGTCACGCACCGACAGTCTACATCCTCGCGAGGCGTTTGACAGAAAAAGGAAGATAGATAGGGAGGGAGGAAGTGTGTGCGTTGGTGGGTTGATGGACCCTGTTTGATTTTTCATAACTTGCATAACGAGCTATATGAAACTCAAACTGACCAATTTATTTTGATAAATTCTCCTGTTGTGTACAAACATGGAGTCTTTTCAATTAGGATTTTCTTACATACTTACTTCTTTCGAATATTATTTGGCGTGTTCCTGCTTAGAGTGAACATTATACATGATATACTACAACATGATAAGACAGAAATTAGAACGAGGCGTTTAACAGCAGATAAGATATCAAATAGTCAGTGCATCATCTTGAAGTATAACAAGTATTGGACTAGTACCATCTTACAAAATGGACAAGATCTTAATTCCTTTTCTTCTGACTTTCATTGTTCTCCTTAAAAATGTGGAATCAACGTCACTTGAAGCAAACCAGTTTGAGGAACTTGTCGTTTACATCACATCGTTAGAGTCAAAATTGAATAACGTTGAGCGCAAACTTTCAGTCGTAGAAAATCAACTTGAAGTGCAAATATACATAAATCAGAAACAAGAAAAAGAATTGCAAACACATAAAGCGCAAATCGAATCACTTAAAACAGACAATGGGCAGTTGAAGAAGAAAGTCGAAATGTTTGAGAAACAACATGAGCATATAGATAGGTTTCTAAAGAGGATCCTAAACTCGGGTGTTTTTGAAACAAAGACGAACATAACAAAAAGGCGGATAAAAAGCGACGTTCAACAGTACAATCGTGAATATAACGATATTTCATCACGCTTTGGTAAACTTTATCATTATAATATTGTAGATACTTGGTATTGTTTGAGACGGCTTCGCATAACGCACATAGTCGGCATATCCGTGCATCGGCATAATCGGTACATTCGTGTCGTCTGATCATGGTCTGCACTGTTCGCTATTCGGTCATTATATAATTTAAAATTTCCGGCAAATAATGAATGGTCACATCTGCAGATGTTTCCAGATTTAAAAGTATGGTGTGGGGTAGTGGGACGGGGTTGTGGACGGTAGCTTACACTTTACAGTACCTTCCATGAATAGGCTCAACCACACCAAACCTGCAACATTTTCAATTTGGCCGTTTTGGGCGTACTGTACCTTGGGTAGGGGTTCTATTTCTTTCCAATTTGCCCAGATTGATAAATTCAATGTACATTTAAGATATGTAGCGTGGTAATGGTTAATTATAACAATACTATTGGCGTAACTTGATATAAAGTCTTGCTAGTGTAACTTATATAGATTGCAACAATAAGAAATATAACTTACTTTCAAATACATTTTAATCTGTATGACGAATTACTATTTTTTCATCAGTGCATGTTTTGGAGTTTTTTTTGTTTTAGGTTTACATATGAATTTATTACGATTTATAATAAGTTATAATAACTCTTCTGTCATTTTGATATTTCAGTTAGTCGAGAGGGCGAACGAGTAGCATTTTCCGCTTTACTTAACAGAGAGCTGACCAACTTGGGACCTGGTCATACAATACAATACGGGGCAACATACATCAACGAGGGAAATGCATTTAACGTACATACCGGCATCTTCACAGTCCCTTTTGATGGCGTCTACCTTTTCTTCTTCTCTTGTGAGGACTACCACAACCATCGAATTTACGCTGACATCATGGTTGACGGTCACAGGAAGTCGTTGATTTTGGAAGGAGGAGATAATATCAATTCAATGGGATCAAACTTGGTCATTCTAAGACTGACTCAAGGTCAATCTGTTTGGGTGGCAATTGACATTAACGGCAACGACGACTCTTTGCAAGACTCCGCAACCACATTTTCTGGTGTATTTTTATACTATTAGAACACGTGGATTTATTTTATTGAGTGCTTGAAAAAATAAATACTGAACTATCACAACCAAGTTTATTTTGTAATATATGAGGTTATTATACATTTTTGAGTATAATACTGAATATTTTGGACGAGTATACATCTCTCAAAACTACATTGGTTGAGACACTAGCGGATACCCCAATGAAATGTCTACAAGTAAATGCCATTTTTTCATCCTTCTTTATATGTTACAATGGTACGATATATAATTCTGATATCCACTGTATTAACTAGGTCTAACCCACTCCACCACTAACAATAGAAATGCTCTTTCAGATAAGACCTTCAAACCGGTGTGTTTCGGTTTCCCATTTACGCCGAAGAGTCAGAAGAACTAACAATACCCATTGATGTCGTAAATAGGTCACCAAAATGGGACAGTATCTGAACCGGAATAATGAACTTCCACTGCGTAGTTTATCAAGTCATTAATGCCACTTGTAACATTACTCGTGCTCGGAAAGTCGTTCTGCCCATAATTCGCGCGCTTTTTCATGGGTGGTGTAAAATTCTAAGGAAAAGTACTCTTTTTGTCTTTTCTAAACTTAAACGTTTTAAATACAAAACTAATCTTAATAATACAATACAACAAAAGCTCTGAAAACCGGACGAAGTCCTGTATTTTCTCCCTATAGGTTCATTGAAATTCCGGAACCTCTGAATTCTGAAAACCGGACGATTTTCTAAGACATCTAAAGCTAAACATGTATAAAATGCTCTGAAAACCGGACAGTAAATCTAAGTGTCAACTTTCTGTGAATTGGAAGATAATACAAATGTAGATCAATTTAGTCTGCCAGACTGCAGAATAATTATTATAATGCTGTGCAGTTTGAATAGGCCTGTTACGCAGCTGGCTTAACAAACTTTTATCACTCAAAAATGAAATAAGGCTGGATGGAATATGATATGCATTTGATACATACATTTGAACTTTTCAATGTTCAAGAGGGAGAATTACTTCAAAAAGAGGGCGATTTTTAATTGACAATAGACATAGTAGGAAATTTTGAAATGAAAAAGATCTCTATATTTTTTTAAAACACCCCTTATTTTAAGAAAAATATTTAAAAATTTGACAGGAGAAAGAGGGTGTCTCCCGCTCAAATTGGGAGAGTTCACATGTATGTTGATATACATTTGTAGATATTTTTGACTCGGAAAATGAGAACGAGGCTATATTGGGTGCGATATGGATTTGATACACTTTTAGAAATCTGGAAATGAAAATGAGGCTTAAAAGCTTATAGTGGTTTCTGTTTGAACATCTCGTGGTGCAAGCATTGAAAGTTCATTTGTTTTATTTAATAAGGTGTGAAATAAATATTACTTTGCTTTTGTAGAATAGAACGTCGACATGGCGAAAAAATCGCACAAACATGTTTGCAAAGCGTAATGTATCGAGCAATTTTGAATACCCACTTGAAGTTCTTTTATATTGTGATCAAACCAAATGGTGTAATATAATTACAAATTTAGAACAACTTCTTAGTCCATATTCATAAGCTATTTTAAAGAATATTAGATTCTGGCATATATACAATATGATGATAAACGTATAGGGGTATACCATAAGTTAATGTTATCATTGGTTTACAGAAATAGAATAACGATACATAGAGAATAAATAATCAAAACATTATTTCTTTTGTTTTAAATTATTTGCAGAATTACAATTAAACAATAAACAACAGGATATGACCGTTTCTTAACGTCAAGCTCAACAAAAAAATGCTGTCTTTTGTCTAATTTGTAAAATAGTTAAACACTTTTCTTCTAACACTAAAGATTGTCATATTTATATTTTTGTTTTGAAATGATTGAACTCCCTGACAGAATATTAGAACCCTCATTCACATAATTATGCTCCTAAAAACATCATTATTTTACCGACGAAAGGAACAATAGAAACTTTAAAAACATGAGCAGTTTTTTAAAGATTTGCAGTGCCAGCATGCTTGCGTGATTAGTAATCATAAGATTGCTGGACAAGCCATTGTGTCATTGGTCAAGAAACCAGAATATTAATAATTACTGAAAAGAAAATTGCATATGTAAAGTTGGAACAGTGATGTCCAATCTTTAAGCAAATGTTTAAACTACCGTTTATATAAATCAAAGTTTGTATTCGAAGATTATTTTAACATACTTCCTTGGCAACTGTCTTCAGCTTTGTTACATTTAGATGTATGAATCATAAAATGCCAATTGAGAATTGTAGATTCCTTAATATAGAGAGAAACATGCGTATATGTACTCCATGTGAGTCAAACCAAATGGCTGACTAATTTCACTATCTCTTTTATTGTTCACATTTTGTTAATAATAGACGTTAATTTATTAAACCGTATAACTATAGGTTTCCTAGTACATTGAAATTTGAAGATCTTATGAATTTTTAAAAACCCTTGCTTTGTTTTGTAAAGAAATAACAACATGCAAATAATAAGTATAGTATTGTATTACATGTATTAGTCTTCTAGACAATTTTGTTAATGAAGCATAAATTTCGGTTATTATTAAGAAGCTAGTCACATCTTTTTTTTATTTTACAGGTACAATATAATTGTCACTTATTCTCCTGTTTTTATGTTCCGAATGTTCTGGTAATACTTTTAAATGTGGATTTCATTTTGTTCTTTTTTAATAAGTGTGCATGGCTGATGGGGTCGTGACAGTATGACTGTATCTCCAGTTGAATTCAGTACAGGATTTTACAGGACTCATGAGAGTGATTTTCTGAAATGAATGACAAATTGTTAGTTTACAAACATGGACATTCTATATCATCTCCATCATGGTTTTCATGGAAAAGGTCCCGTATGAAGCAACTTATGATGATAGTAAATGACCCTCTTCAGTCTACAGCAAAAACAAGTAGTCCTCATCCTCTTATATTGTAGTTAAGTAAAGCCATTTATAAGGTGAGCCATGAGGAACATACTATTAAAATGCATAACTATGGTATATATAAGCTGTTAAACACTTAAAGGTGTTGTTTTTTGAAATGACAGGCTATATGCAATCTGTAGTATTAGACGGCAGCTCCTCTGCAGCCATAATGGTTACTTCTGGAGACCACCAGGGAGTCGGTGCTTGGTGGTGGTGGTGATAATGATGTTGGTAGTGTACCCTCCGAACCACGACAGGGTGAGCCCCATTGAATATAATATAGCCTATTTCAGCCACAGCATCGTTCCTGGCTAAGCTGTCAACTGGCGTCAGGTACATTATGTATGTTGCACATTTTCGCGTGAAGACTCAATCAAACCGAGTCTGCAATTTTCATGTAACTTTGTTGTGATTAATGTTTCCGAGGGATCACACTTTGTACAGATTTTTATACTTCACAACAGCTGTGTGGCAGCTGTAAAAACTCGCCCCGTACTTTACTTCAGTGTTGTTATATTTTCTGGTCCTTCGGGATCATTGATTCCAACGCTTTCAAGATGCAAACGCTTTCAATTAAGTGTTGAAAATTGAGTACCGCTATTAAAGCCGGCGATAGCGGGCGTGAGTACGTTGCACTTTTTCATTATACCAACTGTACAGAATCAATCAAAGCAAGTCTCCAATTTTCATGTTATTGTGTTGTGATTAATGCTTCAGAGGGATCTCATTTTTTCCAGATTTTTTTTTCACTTTCACAAGGAACTTCTGTACATGCAAGAGCAGACCGATTCACAGTCCAACCATGCTTGGACCCCTTCTCTTTCTTTTATACATAAATGACCTCATAAAAGACGTCCAATCAAAAGTTCTTCTATTTGCTGTTGATACTGCAATATACCTGACCCTAACAGCAGGTCACAATTAAATCGGAAAACCTTCAAAAAAACTTAAATACCTAAGAAAAGTGTTGGATTGGGATATGGTGTTCAACCCATTAAAATGTCCAGTAATTCACGTCACAAGAAGGAAACTTCCTATGCCAACCAATTATTCTCTTCATGGAACTATTCTAGAGGCGGTTACGTCGGCCAAACACATGGGCTTTGATATATAAAATGATCTTTCATGTGACCAAAAAGGCGAGCCAAACCCATGGCTCTTCAACCAAATCTCACCATTACATATTGCCAGGCTTCTTTTACTTTTGTCAAACCCTTTACATTTCCCTATATTTTTATCTTATAAGTACATGTATGCTATAATTTATATATATATGTCTTCTTTAGTTTCACTTTTTAGATTTGCTTAGTGGCTGCACGCACCGACTGTCTACGTTCTCACGAGGGCTTTGACAGAAAAGGAAGATAGATAGGTAGGGAGGAAGGGAGAGAGGGTGTGTGAGTGGGAGGGTGGATGGATCCTGTTTGATTTTTCATAACTTACAGACGAGCTACATGAAACTCAAATTGACTTTTTTGTTTCATAATAAATTCTCCTGTTGTGTAAAAACATGGGGTATTTTCAATTATGATTTTCTTACATACTTATTCTTTCGAATATTATTTGGCGTTTATCTGTTTAGAATGAACACTATACATGTTTACTATAGAACATGATAAGAGAAATTAGAACGAGAGATAACATATCAGAGAGTCATTGTGGACTAGTACCATCTTACAAAATGGACAGGATTTTAATTACTTTTCTTCTGACTTTCACTGTTCTCCTTAAAAATGCGGAATCAACGTCACTTGAGGCAAACAAGTTTGAGGAACTTGTCGTTTACATCACATCGCTGGAGTCAAAATTGAATAACGTTGAGCGCAAACTTTCAGTCGTAGAAAATCAACTTGAAGTGCAAATAGACATAAATCAGAAACAAAAAAAAGAATTGCAAACCCAGAAAGCACAAATCGAATCACTTAAAACAGACAAGGGTCAGTTGAAGAAGAAAGTCGAAATGATTGAGAAACAACATGAGCATATAGATAGGTTTCTAAAGAGGATCCTAAACTTGGGTGTTTTTGAGACAAAGACAAACATAACAAAAAGGCAACTAAAAAGAGACGTTCAGCAGTACATACGTGAAAATGACGATATTTCGACGCGCTTTGGTAAACTTTGTCATGTTTTAGATACTTGGTATTGTTTGAGACGGCTTCGCATAGCGCACATAGTCGGCATATCCGTGCTGCCTGATATCAATCGGTACATTCGTGTCGTCTGATCATGGTCTGCACTGTTCGCTATTGGGTCAATTATATATTTTGAAAATTTCCATTAAATGATGAATGGTCACATCTGCAGATATTTCCAGATTTAAAGTATAGTGTGGGATAGTGGGGGTGGTGGTGAGGGGGGGGGGGGGGACGTGGACGGCAGCTTGCACATTACACAACCGTCCATGAACAGGCTCAACCACAATTTTCAATTTGGCCGTTTCGGGGGTACTGAAGAGGTTCTATTTCTTTTTTCCAGATTGAAAAATTTAATGGCCATTTAAGATATTTAGCGTGGTATTGGTTAATTGTCAACTACTAATGATCCAACTTGATACAAAGTCTGACTGATGTAACTTATATAGATTGCACCAATAAGAAACATCTGACTTTCAATTGCATTTACATCTGTATTTCGAATTACATGTACTATTTTTCATCAGTGGATGTATTGGAAGTTTTTTTGTTTTACGTTTACATATGAATTTATTACGATTTATAATAACTGTTCTGTCATTTTGATATTTCAGTTAGTCGAGAGGGCGAACGTGTAGCATTTTCGGCTTTCCTTAGCAAAGACCTGACTAACTTAGGACCTGGTCATACTATACAATACGGGGCAACATACATCAACGAGGGAAATGCATTTAACGCACATACCGGCATCTTCACAGTCCCTTTTGATGGCGTCTACCTTTTCTTCTTCTCTTGTGAGGACTACCACAACCATCGAATTTTCGCTGACATCTTGGTTGACGGTCACCGGAAGTCGTTGATTTTGGAAGGAGGAGCCACTTTACATTCAATGGGATCAAACTTGGTCATTCTAAGACTGACTCAAGGTCAATCTGTTTGGGTGGCAATTGACATTAACGGCAACAACGACTCTTTGCAAAACTCCGCAACCACATTTTCTGGTGTATTTTTATACTATTAGAACACTTGCATTTATTGTATCGAGTGCTAGAACAATAAATGCTGAAAAATTACAATCAATTTTATTGTATATTATATGAGCTTATTATACATTTAGAGTAAAATGCTGTTTTATGTTGGACGATTACACAGCTCTCAAAACTATATTGGTTGAGACACTAGCGGAATTCAATGAAAGACAGGCGATTGTTTACAGTCAACTACAGGCGACTGCTTAAACTGCCTACTGTTAACGGTTACTGCTAACTGCCAACCGTCTACTGCTTTATGCCAAAAAGCGGATGAAATGTCAATAAGTAAATGCCAATTTTTTTCAAACTTCTTTATATGCTACAATGGTACGATATATAATTCTGATATCCTCGGTATTAACTAGGTCTAACCCACTCCACCACTAACAATAGAAATGCTCTTTCAGATAGACCTTTAAACCGGTTTGTTTCGGATACCCATACCGCCGAAGAGTTAGAAGAACTAACAATATTCACTGATATCGTAAATAGGTCACCAAAATGAGCCAGTATCTGAACCGAAATAATGACCTTACACTGTGTAGTTTATCAAGTTATTAATGCCACTTGTAACATTACTCGTGCTCAGAAAGTCGTTTTGCCCAAAATTCGCGCACTTTTACACGGGTGGTGTAAAAGTTCAAGGAAAAGTATACTGTTTTTGACTTTTCTAAACTAAAACAACTCAATAATGCAATACAGTAAAAACTTTGAAAACCGGACGATTTTAAAAGTCCCGTATTTTTCTCCCTTTAGGTTCATTGCAAAAACAAATCAACCTCTGAATTCCGAAAACCGGCGTCTAATGCTTAACATGCATAAAAACCTCTGAAAACTTTCTGTGTATTGGAAGAAAAAACAAATTTATATGAATTTTGTCTGGTGAAGTTAATAAAAAAATGTAAACAAGGCTGTAGATGTATGAAATGCGATATAGATATTTTTGACTCGGAAAATGAGAAAGTCTATATTGGGTGCGATATGGATTTTTTTTTATTTAATAAGATGTGAAATAAATATTTCTATGCTTTTTTTAGAGTACGTCGACATGGCAGGTAAATCTCACAAAGGAAGCATGTTTCCAAAGTTTCATATGTCAAGCAATTTTGAATCCCCACTTTTAAGTTCTTGTCTAAAGTAATCAAACCGAATGGTGAAGAATAATTATAAATTTAGAACTACTTATTAGTCTATATTCATGAGCTAAATTAAAGAATATAAAATTCTGGTATATTATTATACAAGATGGTGATAAACGTAGTCCTGCTAACTATAGGGGTATACCATGAGTTGATGTTATCATTGGTTTAAAGACATACTAGTAGAACACTGATAAATAAGAGAATAAATAATCAAAATATCATTTTCTTTTGTTGTCAATTATTTGCCGAACTGCAAATAAACAATAAACAGCAGGATATGACCATTTCTTAATGTCAAGCTCAACAAAAAAAATGCTGTCCTTCGTCTATTTTGTAAAATTGTTAACACTTTCTTCTCACACTAAAGATTGTCAATTTGATATTTTTGTTTTGAAATGATTGAACTTTATGACAGAATAATAGAATCCTCTTCCATGTATGCTCTTAAAAACATCATGTTATTTACCGACCAAAATCAGTATAACAATAGAAACGTAAAAAACATGAGCAGAATATAAGATTTTTAGTGGCAGCATACCCGCGTGATTAGTAATCATAAGATTGCTGCAAACTCCACCGAGGATCGCCGTTGTATCCTTCACTTGGTCAAGAAAAAATTAACTCATTGCCTTGTACTGGTCTGTTCTAGGAAAAGATTCGAGCTTTCTAATCAAATATAAATTAATAACTTAATTCTCAATTAACTAGGATTTTCAGTATTTATACCTTAGAATAAAAATATTTTGTTTTAAGACCCTTTCCCTTCAAGGGGTTATTAGGCACACTATATGGGGGTGGGGGGGATTCAGGCTGGACAATGTTTATAAACTTTGCAAGATGAACAGGCTTATCCTGTGATTACAATTGAAGTGTATGAACTGGCGAAGAGTCCTGTCGGAACAACCATTTAAGGTTATTCCCCTCTTCCGAACCCCTCTCCCTAACCCCAGTAAGAGGAGATAAACACTTATTTGCCTCATCAAATTTCCAATTACATGTATCAAAATCTTAACATTTATACTGTCTGGATTGATTCATTTCCACCCTGATATTACCAGGGTGGTTAATAATTCATGATAACTTAGGCATGTTACTGATCCCTGAAAAATACATACCCTTGTATGATTTAATTCCGATGAGTTAGGGAATAATTCAAAAGAACCGGTCATTACAACATAAATTATTCCTAAACTTAATGGAAATACCAGTATTATTCATCCGAAAGATAAGAACACTCTGTTGATGGTGTTTTTGAAGATGCATGTATATGGGAACAAGTCTTCTAATGTGGCGATGATCTAAGTGGTTACATTGTTGAAGAAGACAATAATCTTCTTAATGTATCAAAGTTATATAGTTGCACAAGTTATAAATAGTAACATTATAAATAGTAACACAAGTTATAAATAGTAACAGAAGAAGAAACAAGCTTAAAGAATAAATCTAAGATCACTTTATTTGAATACTATAAGCAGACAGCAACACACAGTGACCTAATGTAAAACAACACGTGACAAAATACTCACAAAAATATAGTACATAAAAGTAAAGATAAAACTTATTTACTGCTTAAATAACATATTCCTAATAAAATATAAATCTACAAAGTTTAAATGGAATTACAATGACAACCAATATGTCCTTCTTAGGAAAGTATTGTTTTTACTAGAAGCAAAATACATCAAACACTAAATTATATGACTATCATAGGAGAACCTTGATAAAGAACTTATTGCTCCTTCCAGACATAAAATAAAATAGTCCCTATGTCCCAAGAAGAATTATATTAGTCTTACATTTACAGAAATATCATGAAATACCAATTCTGTTTAGGTATTTTCCAGCACAAAATGTTTATGTTTTGTTTTCTGAATGTCTTGTCTTTTATGATATAAATGACTTAAAGTTAACACAATTAATTTATTCCGGACATGATGACTGGTACAGAAATTGCAATAATGAGAATTAGGTAGAGAACCATACATTCAAATTACCCTTTGTATTTCTAAAATATAAATTTTATTACGGTAACGGTTGTGTGTATGTTTGAGTTGCTCTACGAGTTTAGAATATCAGTGTAAGTCACTATTTTAGATGATATTCAATATTTTCTACACTCCTATTATTACAACATACCAATACCTAAAATAGTGTTTTCACTCTAAAACAGCTGTCAAATAACAAAAAAATATGTCACTCCTAAAATATATTCAAAAATCTATATAACATGAGTTACCAATTCTACAGGCTATTGCCTAATAATAAATAAATGTATCTACAATATTTCCTAATTGTAAAATATCAATACTAACATTTTTATACATAAATGACAGTAAGTTTATTCAAGAAATGATTTGCTATCTGTGATAATAAAACGAGAAAATTATTTCATATTGATTGATATTTATCTAAGTCTCATTGAAAATCATTTAAAGAAAATATTTGATTTAGAAAAATGAAATCTGTTCTGTATATCATTCACTTTAGAAAATTTATCAACCAAATACATTCACATAAAATACACTACACATCTACTTTACTGGATTTAAAGGAGAATAATTGAGCAAAAAACAAAAATATATTGTAAGTGTGAGTTATAATATTATAATATACTTTACATGCTCCTCATGTCTATTAAAGGGTTATTAATTACTGTAGTCTGTAATTAGGCAAATACAACCAAAAACATATATTATAGCAATACATTTACTGTTTATTCTATAAAAAGTTACTAGCAATTAGACCGGACTATACTGTAGATATTTCAGTAAAACAGATAAAAATATAGAAAACTTACCATACAATTCCATAATAAAAAACATTAAAAAAAAGGTTTATTCAACAAATATCACACATTCATGGCATGAATGAATGAAAACTCAACATCCCACAACCTCTTTGTGAATAAAAAAAAATATGCTAAACACTTTAAAAATTGCAAAACTATAAAAATTTAAAGTTTATGTTTAAAAAAACGAATAAAAGATATCAGTATGATAATGGCTAGAAATGTTAATGTAAACTAGTGTGATACACACATTCTATAAATACACTGTTTGTTAACAAGTGATGTATTTATCAAGCAGTAAAGACAGTCAAAACTGTCTTGAAATCTCAGCCGTGGAAAATAGCTTTGTTGAAGGTCATCTTTAGAAAAACAATCAGGTAAGTCTACCATTTAAGTAGTAACAAGGGCAACATTGTCCCAAAATATGCCACAAAAGCTTTTGACAGAGATGTGGGCATATTTGAATTTAGCTTTTCAATATAAATGATTATATTTCAATGTAAAATGATTTTTACCTCAAGAAGAAAATGTAAAACTATGCTCTTAAATGATTCAATTTTTATGTAAACTCCACAATACAATCTTGCAAATTTGCAGATCAACTTATTAACAAGACATCTCATCAATTAAACAATCAAAATACTCTCATCAATAAAAAAATCCTTTACAAAAAATAAAACTTTAAAAACTTTAAATTAAAGTTATCAATATGGACTATTAAAGCTCTATAACAATCTTACTGTTAAAGTAATTTCTGACAACAAAAAAGAACCTCAAGGTCACGATTCACTGTCTCTTTATATGCCAGATATCTCAGCCAGATCAGCTCTAGACCATGTCCTTTCACAAAATAATATTTAAATGTGCTTTCCTTCATAAGTCTATACAAACTAAGGGACACCTAGGTAGGGCCAATACTGACCTTGTTGGGAAGTCAGACTATTCTCTCACTTACCAGTTCCTTCCCTGACGGTTCTCTCCCTATTTTGGGGGAGAACCGTCTGCATTTTTGCAAATAAGCAGACAGTTCCCTACCCATTTTTTTTTTAAATAACATTATTATTAAAGTATTTAGATGTTAAGTAAATGGAAAAGGTTATCATTAATTGATATACTGTAAATTAGACAA